CGTGACTGCAATGAGAAAAGACATTCCCAGTCCCCGGAATATCCCAGTTCCCGGAATATAACTTAAATGCCTCTCCATCACAATGAATGATTGAGGTGACCACCAAAATTTAACTTTTGGCTTCAACATGCAAAGTTAGCCGCTCCAAAAATAAAGTCCTTAATGAAGATGATTAATGGTTCCCCAAATTTAAGTCAGTAGAATTATAAATTTTATTTTAAAGCACACCAAGGATTACAGATCAGTTTAATTTTTCTTTTCTGCATTTTCAAAATTTCTACAGCATGTATTATTTTTTCATACAATTATATACTTTCACACCTTAAAGTCTGCCACATAAGCATGCCATATTTCTCCAAATATTCTTGAAGAAAGTGGGGGCATATTTTCTAATGACTTTGTAAGTTAGTAACATAAACTATAGCTAGATTATCATATGCTCTAGAGAATACACATCTCTTGATCATATCAGGTGAAAACTGCCCTCAATAATGACACCTCCTCCATCTGCAAACCCTGGGGAGAAATTAATTTCCTACTGAAATCACAGCTAACAATTTGTAGGTGTCGTCCACGTGCCAGATCTGCTCTAGGTGCTTTGCATAAACCACTCCCTTAACCTGTACAAGAACCCTAAAACTGTGTTCCATTATTATGCCCACTCACCATGAGGACACAGAACTAGAGATGATGGAAACAGGAAATGGCATATCCAAGACTTGAGCCCCACCCATTTCTCTCCACACCATAAGGGAAGCTCCTGAGATGCTATGCTCAAATTCCTGGTGCTCCCTTTTCACTATGAATTTAAGTTTATTCTTTTCAAAATGACCATAAACATGTACAAATTAAAAATCTGAAAACTCCAGCTGAAAGATTCCTTCTAACGTATTTTTACACTAAGGACACGAATGAGCTTCACCATAATTAACAGGAATACCGAACATTCCCAATGCATCTTAAAATAAAGCTCAAGGAACCCCTGACTTACAAAATCCACTTCAGAAAGAAGCTGTATAATTTAGTGAAGATGCAGGCAGCCAACCATTCAACATCTCCAGTGCTTGCTGTTTGCGTCTGTTCACAAAGACCAGGGGATCCACCGAGGAAGGAAAGGAGACTTTATTTTTAGAGGGAAATACAACCTGCAGATTGGGGAATGCAGCATACAGGAAAAACCAAAAATGCACACGCTGCAGAAGGGAGGAAGGAGCTAGTATCTGTGTCTTACAGAGTCAGCCTTACATTCATACTGAGCAAGGCTGCAGAGGATCTACTAATATTTATGAGGAAATGCAGGCATCTGTGCAGTGGGTAAACGTATATGTGTCATACATTCCATGCTCACTTTGGGGTGGAGTTCTAGCATTAAAAGGAGATGGAATTTGGCTCTTTACATCGACGGGTGAACTACAGGGCACAAAGACATTTTACGTGCAATTTCTACAAGCTGGCAGAAATTGGCTTGAGGTCTGCAGCTGTTTATCAATAAAGAATGTTTATAAGACCAGTCCTTTGTCCAACTGGAGTTGTAGTAGGACCGCAAGGCATTGGCGGGGTGTGTAGTGAGGGAGGGAATGTTTCCATTGGCTGGCGTTAGGCAGTCTGTCGGGGTCAGTTGGAAATTTTCCAGCTGAAGTTGTGTTGGCAATGCTTTTTTGAAGCCGGTTTGTACTTACTTAATAGCAGTTAATAATGCAAAAATACATAACTAACCCCTCATCCTTCTGGCTGTGACAGCCTGGGGTTTTTTTTTGTTTGCTTGTTTTTTGTTTTTTTGTTTTTGAGATGGAGTCTCACACTGTCACCAGGCTTGAGTGCAGTGGCTTGATCTCGGCCCACCGCAACCTCCACTTCCCAGATTCAAGTGATTCTCCTGCCTCAGCCTCCCGAGTAGGACATTCTGTTTTTGGTGCATCTCATTTTAGGAACCAGGAGTTCATTTTGTCCGTCTGTTGGAGTATATTTTAACAAGTCAAATAACATCAGTTTTTGGTGGGTTTTTTTTGTTTTTTTTTGAGACGGAATCTCGCTCTGTCGCCCAGGCTGGGGTGCAGTGGCCGGATCTCAGCTCACTGCAAGCTCCGCCTCCTGGGTTTACGCCATTCTCCTGCCTCAGCCTCCCGAGTGGCTGGGACTACAGGCGCCCGCCACCTTGCCCAGCTACTTTTTTTGTATTTTTTAGTAGAGACGGGGTTTCACCGTATTAGCCAGGGTGGTCTCAATCTCCTGACCTCGTGATCCACCCGTCTTGGCCCCCAAAGTGCTGGGATTTCAGGCTTGAGCCACTGCGCCCAGCCATAACATCACTTTTTGATTTGACTAATTTTGATTTAAAGACATGAGGTACTGGCTACAAACTTCATAGGGACCCCCAGATGATCTCATGATAAATGACACCAGACAATATGTTTTGATTTACATAACTTTACAGACAACTTAAAATGACAAATAAAGACACGTGTTTATTATGTAGAATGATGGGAATGATCACCACAATAACTGCAGTGGGTTGAATACTGTTCCCAAAAATTCATGTTCACCCAAACCTCAGCATGTAAACTTATTTGGAAGTAGGGTCTTTACAGATGTAATCATTTGGGGGGCCTTGTGAGTAAATCATCCCGGATTTAGGGTAGGCCCTAAGTCCAACGACTGGTTGTCCTTCTAAGAAGAGAAAGACAGAGAGACACAGAGCAGAAAACCCTGTGAAGATGGAAGTAGAACCTGGAGTGGTGCTACCACAAGTCAAGGAATAGCAGGAGCCCCCAGAAGCTGGAAGAGTCCAAGAATTCTCCCTGAGAGCCTTCAGAGGAAACATGGACTTTCAGATAATTTGGTTTCATACTTGTGACCTTCAGAAATGTGAGATGATACACTTCTACTGTTCTAAGCCCCTAAGTTCATGGTAATCTGTTACAGCATCCCTAGGAACCTAATACAGACAAATAAAGGCTATGCTTATTATGTGGCATGATGGAGATGGCCACCAGAATAGCAAAAGGCCATGGCTCTTCTCCTTCCATTGTATACACAGAAAAGAACAACCCCCTTCAAAAGCAAAAGCAAAGGCTGGGCACGATGGCTTACGCCTGAAATCCCAACACTTTGGGAGGCCGAGGTGGGCAGATCACTTAAGGTCACGAGTTCAAGGCCAGCCTGGACAACATCGCAAAACCCCATCTCTACTAAAAATACAAAAAGAATTAGCCAGGTGTTGTGACTCACACCTGTAATCCCAGCTACTCAGGAGGCTGATGCAGGAGAATCGCCTGAACCCAGGAAATGGGAAACAGAGGTTGTGGTGAGCTGAGATGGCAGCACTGCACTCCCGCCTGGGCAACAGAGTGATATGTCTCAAAAAAAAAACAAAAAACAAAGACTATTCAATTGTAACAGAAAGATTCAAGGGCAGATTTGCAGAGTGACCTTATCAAGTATACATACTGAGAAAAGCTGGTAGAAAAGAGGAGGAACCCATTCTAAGGAACCTCTACCTTTCAGTTCCTCCAGTCTTGAGCTCCAGGGTTAGATGTTCCCTCAATGGCAAACCTCTGCTCTTGTTACTGTCATGGGACCACCACCAGCCACCAAGCATCAGTCCATCTTTCTATAATGTCAAGTCTAGGGTGACATTTGTCTAATGTTTGCCTACCTGGAGATGTTGCCCCAACCATCACCACCAGCAGAAACAACCGGCACCCATCTTATACGGATAATTCCTTACCTAAGGAGTTCTAGAAATGCACGGCCCACCAAAACTCAGGGTAGGTCATGCATTTCTAGAGGAAGAAATGGCGATATGGAGAGAAAGCTTGTCCTAACCCACTTCTACCAAAGCAGGATTAAAGTCAATTTGAAAAAAAACACCGTTTCTCCTTTTATATAAAAACCAAATGCAGAAACTATAAAAAGAAATCTAATAAGCTTGACTCTACACAAATACCAAAATGCACTGTAAACAAAATTAAAGGTAACTGACAAACTGAGGAAGTATTTGCAACGTATATCGCAAGCCAAGTGTTCAAGCATCAAAAGTTCTTACAAAACCAATTTTTACAAAGATGAATGCCAAGTTTTAAAATGAACAAAAGACAGGAAAACGCAAATCACACAATAAGGACAAATGGCACGAAAAATATGGGAAAAAGTCTATTCTTCCTACTAACAAGGAAGTGAATACAATCAAAGATGCCAATTTTTGACAATAAAATGGGCAAAAAAAAAAATTGTAAGAAAAAAGAGAATTTCCAATGCAGGCCAAGGATTGGAACGTTTGCTGGAAGGCAGTTTCCCTCTACCTTCAGAAAGCCTCAAAGTGAGCATATGTTTTGGCCCTGCAACCTCACATGTAGGAATTTATCCTAAGGAAGCAGTCAGGGGTGACGTCAAAGATTCATCGGCAAGGATATTCAACATGGCTTTGACACAGGAAAAAAAGTAAATAAATAAAAGGAAACAATGTAAGTCTTCCTAAATGATGCCAAATTCCTATGCTGTCATTAAAAAGCACCTATAACTCCATCATCTAGGTGATTTTGACTTTTGCTTTGGACATTTTGCCTGTACATTTCTAAATTCTCTATGCCAAATAATGCATTGTTTTGTCATCAGATTTTGTTTTACAAAAACAAACCAAAACAAAAAAACCGTCTTTATGACACGGGGTTAATAGGGAAACTGTGCTTCCCAGGCACTGACCAGGCGTCTACACCTGCTGCCTAGCAGCCTACCGGTAGGCGTCTACACCCGCCTACTGACTCAAGCCACCTAAGGCTGGCCGAGCCTTAAGAGGGCGCCAGAGCGCCAGAACGCGTGAAGCACGACAAGCTCCCTCGCTCCCGGTGCGGCCACGTGGGCAGGCAGGGTCCTGGGCGCCGAACAGGGACGGCAGGAGGCTCGTTTACAGACGTCTACACAAGCAACTCACTTCCCCGAACCGAAGAAAAACGCGAGGCCACACTGACCTCCAGGCCAAACACGCCCCTCCCGGCCGCGGCGTCCGCTTCCCGAGTGCGCATGCGCGCGCCCAGCCCCCTCAGGCTTGCGCTTCCCAGCAGGCCTCGCGCACGGGTTTCCATGGCGACGGGCCGCCGCTGCGGCCTTGCTGCAGTCGCGGGAACCGCGCGGAACAGGTAACGGCCCAACTGCCGCCATCGTCCGCCGCAGCCGGTTGCCCTGTTACTGCCCCAACGCTGGTCCCGTCCGGACCCGCCTGCTACGCTCTTTCTGGGCTTCCGGTATCGCCGGTCACTCCGTCCTCGCCCCTGCCTGCCTCGCTGGCGCCCGGCCGTTTCCTCCTCGCAGCGCAGTCTAGCAAGGAACAGCTACTCCGGCTCGGCAGTGGCCGGGCGCCCCGGCGACACACGTACTCTCAGGCCCGCTGGGCAGGGGGGACGCCTGGGCCGAGGTGACCGAGCGCGCCCGGGGCCGCGCCTGGGTCCGGCAAGGGGGCAGAGGCCGATCTCACCGCCGCCCCACCTAGGGACTTTCGGGTTTTTCTATCTGAATCTTCCATCTGACCTCCGATTTTGCCTTTGCTTACTTGCTGTTTTGCTTGGGATTCGTTTTTCTTTAAAACCTTAGCGCTGGCATCTCCCTATGTCGCAGGAATCTAAATCTTTTGAAATGTCTTCTCTGTCTGTGTTTGTCCCCCACTCGCCCAGTCTCGGGACTCTTTATCCACACCCTCCCCTCAGCGTGTTAACATCTCGTTGCCACACTTAAGCCAACGGTTAAGTTTTTTCAGAGCCCAGTTTTTTTTCACGGCTGAATGTGAGCTTGAGCCTTTTTGCGTCTCTTCTCAATCCCTATATGAACTCATCCAGTCTCCTGTACTCAGAGCCTACCTGAATGCTAGTGAGCCCCAAGTGTGCATTCCCAGCCCTCGCCCCTCCCCTGAACACCAGACCCCTGCATTCAGCTGCCTGCCACATCCCTACTTGGATGTCTACGGCATCTCAAACGCAGCTTATCCAAAATAGCTCTCAATAATTCCCCAAGCCAAGCGTGTTCTCCCACAATCTTAACCCGTCATAGTTGCTGGGAATTCCATCCTCCAATTGCCCGAGCCTTGTATCCTGCTTGAGTCCTGTTTTTCTCTTCCTTACCTTCAGTCTGTCAGCACTGCCTTCAAAATGCACCCGAATAGATTCACAATTCTACCATTTCTCTCAACCCCCACTGTCACCACCTTGGTCCAGGCCCCCATCATCTGGTGCCTGGATTACTTTACTTGCTTCCTAATTGGTTTCCCTGAGTCTGCCCCTCCCCCACTTGAGCATGACAGCCTTAATGCTATTTCCCGTTCTCTGGCTATTTCCCGTTCTCTGTTATTTCGTATGAATAAGTTTTTTAAAGGATTATGTAAATTACAATTTCCTTATATAAATTACAATTTCCGTAGTTAAAAGTGCAATAGTTTCAGTATGTATTTTGCACATTGCAACTTTTAAACCGGGTAAACAAGTCTACATAAGCATCATGCTAACAAGCTGACAATGTAAACATGCCCCTTAGCTGTGTTAGGTATAAATATAACAGTGCCCCTGGAACAGAACTATGGCCAGAGCTTTACAAGGGACTGTCCTGAAGAACAAAAGAATCCAGAGCCTTCTTCCCAGTGCAAAGACAGGAATCATATAGGAGTTTAAGCTCTTCCTTTTTTTATTTTTTAGAGAAGCACCAAAAGAGGCAAACTGAGATGCAGACAAATGATCATCCGTATGCTGATCATTTTGATAGTAAGTACGTGGGTGCTGATATGGCGATCAATGTGACAGGTCCCTGCCCTCAAGGAGCTAAGGTCCCTACATACCTGTACCCTTGCCAATCTCTCTCTCTTTTTTTTCATTTTTTTGAGATATTGTCTCACTCTGTCAGCCAGGCTGGAGTGCAGTGGCATCATCTCGGCTCACTGCAACCTCCATCTCCCGGGCTCAAGCAATTCTCCTGCCTCGGCCTCCTGAGTAGCTGGGATTACAGGTGTGCACCACCACACCCAGCTAATTTTTGTATTTTTAGTAGAGATGGGGTTTCACCATGTTGGCCAAGCTGGTCTCAAACTCCTGACCTCAGGTAATCCGCCCGCCTCAGCCTTCCAAAGTGCTAGGATTACAGGCATGAGCCACCACGCCTGGCCCTACCCTTGCCACTCTCTTAAACCCTATCTTTTCTCTTTTGCCATCAGGTAAAACCCCAATTAACCAAAGTAACAGAGGAGGATTGCCGCAGTTAGCTGAGGGTCTATAGGAGATTGCATTTCATAAATGACCACTTTACTCAGATTTGATCTCCCACCACACCTTTGTGCTGTCACTTCATAGAGAAACTTGAAGCTGTCACATGGGAATCCCCTCATACTTCAGCTGCCAAAACTGCAAGCCTTACTTATATCTGTTCCTACCTTCCTTCCTCCTCCTAACCAAAGCCACTCCCTCTCTGTGCTTTGGATCCCATCACTTTCCACTCGCCAAAAACTACACTGTCAGGTATGCATTCCCTCTCCTGTATGATCATCTATTCCATCTCAGCTGGCTCTGCCATGGTTTTGAAGCATGTTGAAGTTTCCCATCACAAAAGAGAAAAAAAGAATCTCCTCTGACCCCACATTCCCCTTCAGTTTCCAGTTATTGTCCAATCCCTTATCCCTTTCGACAGGCAAACTTTAAAGAACTGCCTTATTCGATACCTCTATTATTTGTCTCGCACTCCTCAGCCAGCCTGGCTTCCCTCTTCATCTCTGCTAAAACAAAAACCGGGAATGAGACATTTCCCGGCCTCGTCTTGCTCCATCTCTCAGCAGCATTTGAAACTGCTGCCCCCATTTCATCTACAAACACTGTCTGCCCTTGGCTTCCGTGACACCCCCCCCCCCCCCCCCCCCCGTCTCTCCTGCTTTTCCTGCTGCCATTCTGGCTCACCCTCCTCTCCCAGGCTCCTTCATATTGGAGATCCTCAAAGCTCGGCCTCTGTTCCCATTTTGTTCTCCGTTGCACCCCTTCATCTAGCACAGGGCACAGATTCACACGCACAGCTTTAAGTTCCAGCTGTGTGCTCTTGACTCCCACCTTTCTCCAACTTGACCTTTTCTCAGCTAGACGCGTACATTCAGCTAGCTGTGTGACAGTGTTTCTCAATATCACTCAGTCTCTCTTCAACATGCACAAGACCAAACAACCCCACTTCCCAACCCCAACTGGGACCTCTTCCATTGTACCCAGGATTCCTCCTTGACCCTTACCCCACACCCCAACACCCAGTGAATCCTTAAGCCCAGGTGAGGTTGTCTCCTGGGCATCTTTCACATCTCTTCATTGTCATGGATGCCTAAGTCCAAACTACCACCTTCATTCAGCCTGCTGCAGTCCTGTACCAGCTGGTCTCCCCACATCTCTGGCTTTTCTCGATTCTTCACCACCCTGCAGCCAGAGTAACCTCTTCAGAAGGCAGAGCTGATTATGCCATCCCTCCCCACCTCCCTCTTTTGCTTACCACCAGCTTCCCATTGCCCTTGGATTAATGATCCACATCATAGGCACGCCTTCCCAAGGACCTGCAGCTGCTCACCCCCGCCTGCTTCTCAAGACTCATCTGAAACGGCTGGCCCTCCTCACTGGGCTTCAGCCACATGGGCCTCCACCCACCAGGCCTTGGCATTCTTTTCTCTCTGTCTGCATTGTTTTTCCTTCCTCCCTCTCATCCTCTCTTGCCTAGTTAGTTCCCACTGACCCTTCCTATCTCAACTCAGACATCACTTCTACAGGGATAACTTCCCCAGTCACTGTCAGGATCAGTTTCATCTTCACAGAGTTGTATCTCCTTCCTTGAAGACACTCGGGACAGTCACTATTATGATTAGTTCATTACTGATATAAGTCCCACAAAAACAGAAACATTTGCTGTTTGTGTTCATCATTGTATCTCCACACCCCACATAGTGCCTGACACATAGCAAGCACGCAAATGGGTGCTGAAAGAATGAATGAAATGAACATTCTAATGTGTAAGAGATACTAAGTGCCGTGTGTTTTAGAACAATTCTATTAAAATAGAATGGGCCGGGCGCGGTGGCTCAAGCCTGTAATCCCAGCACTTTGGGAGGCCGAGACGGGTGACGGGTGGATCACAAGGTCAGGAGATCGAGACCATCCTGGCTAGCATGGTGAAACCCCGTCTCTACTAAAAAAATACAAAAAACTAGCCGGGCGCCGTGGCGGGCGCCTGTAGTCCCAGCTACTCGGGAGGCTGAGGCAGGAGAATGGCGTGAACCCGGGAGGCGGAGCTTGCAGTGAGCTGAGATCCGGCCACAGCACTCCAACCTGGGCGACAGAGCGAGACTCCGTCTCAAAAAATAAAATAAAATAAAATAAAATAGAATGAAACTCCTAGTAAAAAATAATCAGGCAAACACTGAAAATTAAAAAGAATGTTGTGGCAGGGTAGCTAAAAACGGGTACTTGGGTAAGATCTGTAGCCCTTTACTCAGTGTGTGGTACACTGCATTTGCCACCACTTGGTGGAAGTAGAGAGGCATGGGTTCTTACCCTGAAGGTGACTGGGATGTCAGTCTGCTAGTGAATTCAAACATTTGTTCTAAAATATATAAAGTTGTTAAATTACCAAAACCTGCATAGCATAGCTAGTCTGTAACCATCCAGACTTTGAACGTGGCACATTTTCATGTTATCAAATAAACTTGAAATTTCTGATATATATAGGTATATTTCATTTATGAAATTTAGTGCTAGATGTCACTGAGAAATCAGCCAATGTCTTGCCTTAGACATTTGAGGCCTACTAGCTAGTTGTATTGGCAGAACTGGGAACATACCTTTTTTCTTCCACAGTATACTGCCTCTCAATCAGTGTTTTGTTCGTCTGTTTTTTCGGTTTTGAAACTGGGTCCCACTCCGTCCCTCAGGCTGGAATGTAGTTGTGCAATCACAGCTCACTCCATCACTGCAGCCTTGACTTCCTGGGCTCAGCCTCCTGAGTAGCTGAGACTGTCACACCGGCTAATTCTTTTTTTAGGAATGGGGTCTCACCATGTTGCCCAGGCTGGTCTCAAATTCCTGGGCCCAAGTGATCCACCTGCCTCAGCCTCCCAAAGTGCTGGGATTACAGGTGTGAGCCGCCACACCAGGCCAATCAGTGTGAAGAATCATAACCTCCCTTTGTCAATGTTTAGAGTGACTTGCATAATTTCTGAAGCAAAAAATTGGGACACATAATCTTAAAAGATAAAGTGTTTGAAATAATGTTCTTGAAAACCATAAGATATTGATTATCCTAGCTATATAATACCACATTTATAAGCCTAGGGAAGAGCTTTTCTATTCATTGAATATTTTTGTCAAAGAGTTGAGAGTTCAGGCTTTTCATTCAGTAAGAAGACCTAAACTTGGGTCTGGCTGATATTTTTTTCTATCCAGACAGGCTGTGCTTGTGGCAGGAAGGCCACAGAAATGGTGCTGTCATCTTCACAAGTGCCCATGGTCACTAGTGAATGTCACCTGTCCCACCCTAGTGACATGAACCTTGATTACCTGTTCAAGCACGGATCTGCCAGGTTTCTCCACAGCCACCTGTTTTCCCTTTGCATTCGATTTGTACTTTGGAAAGAGATACTCTGACATGGTAAATCCCATTTGTTTTGTGTTTTTAAGACAGGGTCTCACTCTTGTCCAGGCTAGAGTGCAGTGCTGGCATGATCACAACTCACTGCAGCCTCAACCTCCCAAGTAGCTGAGACCATGGGTGTGCGCCACCATACCCAGCTAATTTGGCTTTCTTTATAGAGATAGCATCTCCCTATGTTGCCCAGGCTGATGTATCCTCCTTATTGGTATTGATGCTCAAATTCCCCTATCTTTGACTAATGGGAGCTTCTTAAAGCTGGCTCCTGTGCCCTTTTGATACACACCAGCCTTTCTTCTCTTGCCTGCCTCAGGCTTAGGATCATCCGTTTCTCCAACGAACCCTGATTCATTATAGCAGAGAATGGTATTTGGTGGAGAATGGTACACAGTGTACTCATTGTTTCTGGGGTGTCATTGATTCTAGGCCCTCTCAGAGAGCAGAGTTGGGGGAAAATACACACACACACACACATAGACATACATATGCATATACACATACACATACATTTATAGATACATGTGCACATAGATCTGTAACTGTATATACCTCCTTGTGTGTGTATGTGTGTGTGTATTTGAACCTAGCATTTCTCATTCTAATCCAACATTTCAGGGTTCTTTCCAGCCTTTCCTCTTTCAGACAGTAAGAAATTTGACCCCATGATTCTAAATATATTATGTCCTCAGTTAACTTGTTAGCTCTAATTAATTTCCTAACTTTGCCAGCTACCTGACGCCTCTTTGTCACTCCTTCCCCTTACAACTACTTCACTCTGCTTTCTCAGCCTTCAGCCATGCTTCCGCCACTGCCTCTACAGGAAAGCCACCTCCTTTTTGGAAAAAAATTTGCACGGAGTGCTTATGAGAGGGTCTGCTGTTTTCTCCAGCTCATTTTTCCAAAGCAAACAATCCCACCAGCTCTCTCAGGTTGGTCATCTTTTTCCTAGATATAGTCCAAGGCAAGGTAAAGCAAGCTGGTTTCTGGAACCATTAAGATATTTCCCCAAAACATTTGAACTCACCAACTCACCATGTTCTCTGACTTCTTGAAATTTGTAACAGTGCATTTCATTTGCATGTAATAGCCTGCTTTTAGTCTCATTTTAATTTGTGATGTTTTTCAAGGTATCTGTGTGTGTTCTGTATTGCTGCTACAACAAATTACCACACACTCAGTGGCTTAAATTTATTTTCTTACAGCTCTGGAGGTCAGAAGTCTGAAATGAGTCTTAAGGGGCTAAAGTTATGATGTCAGCAGGACTGATTCCTTCTAGAGGATCCAAGGAAGGATCCATTCCCTTCCCTTTTCTAACTTCTAGAAAAGCCTGTATTCTGTGGTATATGACCCCTTCTTCCATCTTGAAAGCCAGCAGCATAGCATCTTCTCCCTCTGACTCTGCTTCTCTCATAACAGAGCCTTCTCACTCTGACCCCTCCTGTGTCCTTCTTAGACAGGCCCATGTGATTACATTAGGTCCACATGGATAATCTGGGATAATTCAGGATAATCTTCCCACCTCAAGACCTGAAATTGATCACATCTGCAAAGTCCCTTTTGCCATATATAGTAACACACACAGGTTCTAGGGATTAGGACATGGACATCCTTAGGGGACTATTAGTCAGCCTACCACTGTACCAAAGGAAAGTCTTAACTCTTAAAAATGAGAATTTAACTGTTTTTTATGGAAGGTAATGAGCAACATGTAGACATTGATTGGAAAATGAACATATCTTGGAGAGCTTTACATACCTACACATACAGAGATATGCTTTATTTTTTATATTAGGCATTATCAGTATTATTATTCATCACAGTTATAATAACAATATGTTTTATCTAATTCTTTAATTTTTGCCATTCTGGTAGATGAAAAATGGAATCTAGTTGTTTTAATTTGCATTTCATTACAAGTAAGCTTGAACATCTTTTTATGTAACTCTTGGTTTTCTGTGTTTCTGTAATGTGCTTATTCTGTAATGTGTTCATATCTTTTGCCCATTTTACTAATGGATTATTTTAAGAGGTCTCTGTAAATTAAGGAAAGTAGGTCTTTGTCATATGTGTTGAAAATCTTTTTTCCAGTTTGTAAGATGCCTTTGCACTTTATTATTTTTTTAATTATAAGGAAGTTTTTAAATTTTTATGCAGTTATTTTTATCAGTTGTTTCCTTTATGGTTCAGGGCTTTATGTTTTTCCACACTCTGTGTTTTCTTTTAATAATTTTTTAAACATTTATATTTTGAATCCATCTAACCATCATTTTAGTGTAAGAAATAAGAATGTGCTTTTGTTTTGACTTCCGGGTAGATTCTGGCCTACCTCTCATCATTTACTGAAGTGCACTTTCTCTACCTTTATCTTACACTAGGCTGCCATATGTATTTGTTTGTGTTTCTGTTTCTGAACTCTTTATTCCAGTATATTGTTCTGTCAAAGCATTAGTATCAGGCTATTATAGTGACTATAGCTTTATATCTCAGTGTCTGATCAAAGTAGTCCCTTCTCATCATTTTTGTTCATATTTCTTTGTATTCTTTCATATTTATTTCTCTATATGAATTTTGTATCATTTGGTCAAATTTCACAAAATTACTCAGCATTTCATTGAGAATGCATTGATCATGTAGATTAAATTAGGGAGAATTTACAGCTTTATAATGTGTCCTTTTGATATAAGAACAAAATATGTCTTTCACTTAAATATTTTATTTCAGTAGTTTTAAAGTTTCCTTCATATTATTCATAGTATACTTAGATGTTTTAAATATTTGGACTGATATAGTAAGTGGGATATTTTTCATCTATTTTCTAAGTCATTTTATTTTGCATATAGAAAAGATTATTTTTAGGGCCAGGCACACCTATAATTCCAGCACTTTGGGAGGCCAAAGTGGGCAGATTTCTTGAGCCCAGGAGTTTGAGACTAGGGCCTGGGCAACATGACAAAATCCCATCTCTACAAAAAATTGGCCAGGCATAGTGGCATGTGCCTGTAATCCCAGTACCTGGGAGACTGAGGTGGGAGGATCACCTGAACCCAGGAGGTTGAGGCTGCAGTGAGCTGTGATCGCGCTACTCCAGTCTGGGCGATGGAATGAGACCCTGTCTCAAAAAAAAGATTAATTTTATAGCCATGTTGTAACCTATAGTGTCAATTTAATTCTCTTGATAGTGTTTTATAAGTACATAATCATTTCATTTCCACATAATAACTTGCCTCTTCTTTTCCAATATTTAGGCCTAGTACCTCCAGAACAATTTTAATGAACAAAGTGACAGTAGGCATTTCTTATCTTAATTCTTACATCAGTGTAAATTAATGTTTCACCATTAAAGTTTAAAGCTGTTTTTTTTGTTTGAGATAGGTATTTATCACATTGGGAAAGCTTTCATTTAGAGCTTTTCAGATTGGGTTAGCAGTAATGAGAAGTTTTATCAGGAGTCATGGAATGAAAAGAGGAATTAAAGAAGCACAGAGGCATCCTGAACATTAATTTATGTGATCAATATTTATTGGACACCTAATATTCTCAGGAACTCCTCTAGGCACTGAGGATATAGCAGTAGACAAAGGAGCCAGAATGCATGCCACTGGGAAGCATACAGTTAGTGGGGAAGTATTTTACTTAGCTACAAACAGGCTAAGTAAAATAGGTGTTATAAAATAAATTTTAAAAAGTAAAATAGATAATATGTGCTAAAGAGAAAAAATGAAATGGTGAAGGCAATAGGAAATGAGAGTGGATAAGAAAAGAAGGAAAATTTGCCTGTTAAGTAAGTTTTTTTTTCCCAAGAGGCAGGACTGGTTAAGAATATAATTGCCGGCCAGGCTCTGTAGCCCAGATCACGCCTATAATCCCAGCACTTTGGAAGGCCAAGGCAGGTGGATCACTTGAGTCTTGGAGTTCTAGACCAGCCTGGGCAACATAATAAAATCCCATCTCTGCAAAAATACAAAAGTTAGTGGGGCATGGTGACACATGCATGTAGTCCCAGCTACTTGGAAAGCTGAGGCAGGAGGATCACCTGAGCCCAGGAGGTTGAGACTGCAGTGAGCTGAGCTAACACCACTGCACTCCAGCCTGGATGACAGAGACTCTATCTCAAAAAACATGTATATAATTACCTACCCATAGAATAATTTCAGCCAGAAACACAGATGTAATCATTTGAATTAAATTATCCTTATGAATTAATTATAACTTCACTATGGAATTTTTTTCATTATATGCGTATAACAAAATAAATATTTACTTTTAAGAATTAGGATTTTCTAGTTGTATTATTAACCAAGAATCTGATAATTCATGAAAGTGTGGAACCAGAATACATTTTAGTATATAATACTAAATCAGTCACTATCTGTGCTTCTAAAGTACAATCCAGTGCTTACAAGTAGTTACCAAGAGGGTCGTCTTTTTGTTATTTTTATTGTTGACAGGAAAGAAACACATAATTCAAAAACTTTAATTATTTACGTTCAACTCTGTACTGGAAAGAGCGAGCAGGCAGGTGAGCCACAAGATCTTTTGTTCTGTCAAAAACTTGAAAAGGCACTGCTGTGTATGGCTCCTTCAAATCTTATTTCAACATCACTGTTTGATAATCACATCCAAGAACTTCCCAATCAATTGCCAACAGGTGATTCACTTTCATAGAGAAAAAGCCGCCTATGGCCGGGTACAGTGGCTCACACCTGTAATCCCAGCACTTTGGGAGGCCAAAGTGGGTGGATCACTTGAGGTCAGGAGTTTGAGACCAACCTGGCCAACATGGTGAAACCCTGTCTGTACCAAAAATACAAAAAAATTAGCCAGGCGAGGTGGCAGGCGCCTGTAATCCCAGCTACTCAGGAGGCTGAGGCAGGAGAATTGCTTGAACCTGGGAGGCGGAGGTTGCAGTGAGCTGAGACCACACCAATCTATAACACAAGGGAATATATATACATATATATATATATATAAAAATTAAAACTGCTTCAAAATCTTATTTTATAAATGTTTATTTGTGAGATTGTAACATTTTCCTTTTGTAATATCATTTTAGGTTTTTTAAAATATATTCTTTCTTTAAAAAGAGACCAAGACCTGTCAAAAAATACTACCGTGGAAAGCTCATAAATACTACAGTGTGAAGAACCCTGTGCTTATCTTCAGTTAATCGTCAGACATCTTAGGGAAGTTTGATAAAGAACACCAGGTACGCAGTAATCCCTTTCAAACATGTTAGCGTGTTTTATTTTCCATCTGCCTTGTTGCAAAAGCAGGAGTAAAGACACCTGACTGTTGTATTCAGAATGATTCAGACGTATACTTTGATCTTCAGCATTCTTATTTCTAATTCGCTAATTAGATAAGCACAATATAGAAGTTCACTGTTCTTATAAGCAGCCATCCCTTTTACCATAGTGCATTCCAGGAAAACGTAACCTCAACCAGATCAGATTTTTTTCCATTAGAACAGTGTTTATAATTACTCATTGTGTTCCTGAGTCATAACAGCAAAGAAACAACTATAAACTCTATAATGATAGAGACATAATAAAATTATGCTTCATGTGCAATAAAATAGGCACCATTATACTGTAAACTGTTCAAAATATAAATGCTGCCAAACTAAATCTGAACTATACTGTAAATTTGATACAACAAAAACTAGTATAACTATAGTAGGTATTATATAATTACTAACTTTGCCTATTTTAAGATCCTTTAAGTCAAAAGCTTACCTTCTTCATCACCCTAGTCCTTGGAAGACACTAAATAGATGTTCTTTGACTGAACATATTAATTAATTAAGAACATCAGTGGCCGGACATGGTGGGTCATGTCTGTAATCCTAGCACTTTGAGAGGCTGATGTGGGAAGATTGCTTGAGCCCAGGAGTTCAAGACCAGCCTGGGCAACATAGTTGCCCAGCTACTTGCCAGGCCAAGGTGGGAGGACTGCTTGAGCCTGGGAGGTCAAGCCTGCAGTAAGCTGTGATCACCCCACTGCACTTCAGTCTAGGCAACAGAGCAAGACCCTGTCTCAAAAGAAAGAACATTAGGTGGTTGGTTTAAAGCCTGGATTTTTCAAAAATGCACCACATAATCAGAAATTTGTATGTGGAAACTACATTTTGTACTGATAACAGTAGAGAAATGTAGTGTATGTATATTAATATGAAGATTTCTGAAACAGTTTAATCAACTTAAAAGTTATAGGCCTGATACTAGTCATCAGTCAGTTTTTAACAGGTCAGTGAGAAAACTGATATTTAACAGACTGAATATATGATCCCACTTAACCTGCATTCAGGGCACATTCATTGCCGACTATTGTAATAGCCAAGAATCAAACTTGGTTTTACTTTTGTTTACACTGCTGATCGTATCTCTCAGACTCCATTTCATGAAAAAGAACAGAACTCACACAGTGCCAGGTGAACCCAAACATACCTGTATTCAGGTCATATAGGTAGAAACTTTAGGATGATTGTGGAATCCTGGGAATTCCAGAATGCTAGAAATATCCAGTCTCTTTGGCAGGTATAGTTTATGTACAAGCAATTCTTTTGGAAATTTACCTGCCCTGCCAGGGCAGGAGAATTGCTTGAGCCCAGAAGTTCAAGACAAGCCTGGGCAATGTGGCGAAACTCCATCTCTACAAAAAATACAAAACTTAGCCGGCATGGTAGTGAACGCCTGTAGTCCCAGCTACTCCAGAGGCTGAGGTGGGAGGATCACCTGAGCCCAAGAAGTTGAGGCTGCCGTGAGCTGTGATCATACCACTACACTGTACTCTAGCCTGGGCAACAGAGTGAAACCCTGCCTTAAAAAGAAAAAAACAAAAAAAAAAACATATCTCTATATATATATTTTATATATATGATGTGTATATATACACATATATATACATGTGTATAAACATATGTATATATGTGTGTATCTGTATATATTATGAAATACTTAGGCATAAATCTAACAAAAGTTGTAAAAAAGTTCTGCATTGAAAACAGCAGAGCACTGCTGAAATTAAAGAAGACCTAATAAATGGGAGGCATACCTTATTCCTGGGTTAGAATTCTCCATTTTGACAAAGTGTCAGTTCTCCCTAAATTTATATGTAGATTCAACACAGTTCCAGTCTCAATCCTATTAGGCATTTTTTTTTTTTTTTTTTTAAGGAATTGACAAACTAACCCTAAAATTTACATAGAAATTCAAAGGAACTAAAATAGCCAAAACAACTTTGGAATGAAACAACAGAGATGGCAAACTAACACTACCTGATTTCAAGATTAGTTATAAAGCTACAGTAACCCTGTAATCGCAGCACTTTGGGAGGCCAAGGTGGGCAGATTGCTTGAGCTGAGGAGTTCAGGACTAGCCTGGGCAACCTGGTGAAACTCTGTCTCTGCAGAAAAAAAAAAAAAAAAAAAAAAAAAAAGCTGGGTGTGGTGGCACGAACCTGTAGTCCAGCTATGCGGGAGGCTGAGTTGGAGGTTGCAGTGAGCCAAGATCATGCCACTGCACTCCAGCCTGGGCAACAGAAGGAGACCCTGTCTCAAAAAAAAAAAAAAAAAAAAAAGCTACAGTAACCAAAACAATGTGATATTGGTATAAAGATAAGAGAAACAGGTCACTAGAACAGTATAGAGAGCACAGAAATAGATCAACATATGGATATCTGGGTTTTTACAGAGATGCAAAGGCAATTGAGTGGGAAAAGGAGAGTCTTTCCAACAAATAGTGCTGGAGCAATTGGATGTCCAAATACCAAAAAATGAATTTTTACCCATAATGAGTAACTCAAAATGGATTATAGACTTAAAGTAAAACTTCTAGAAGAAAGCAAGGAGGATATCTTTGTGACCTCAGGTCATGCAAAAATTTCTTAGATATAACACCAAAAGGATCATACTTTTTTTTTTTTGAAACAGTTTCTCCTTACCCAGGCTGGAGTGCAATGGCGCGATCTCAGCTCACTGCAATCTCCGCCTCCCGGGTTCAAGCAATTCTCCTGCCTCAGCCTCCCAAGTAGCTGGGATTACAGGCACCCACCACCACGCCCAGCTAATTTTCGTATTTTTTAGTAGAGATGGAGTTTCATCATGTTGGCCAGGCTGGTCACGAACTCCTGACCTCAGGCAATCCGCCCACCTTCACCTCCCAAAGTGCTGGGATTACAGGCATGAGCCACCGCGCCTAGCCAGGATCATTCTTAAAGGAACAAATTGATAATTGGGCTTCACCAAAATTTTTAAAAAACATTTTTAAGAGAATGACAAATCACAGATGAGGAGAAAATGTTTGCAAAGCATGTATCTGATAAAGGACTTATATCCAGAATATTCACAGCAGTTTTACTTTTAATAGCCCAAAACTGGAAATAGCTGAAATGTCTGTGAACAGATGAATAAACAAATTATGGTTTATACATGCAATTGGAAACTACTCAGCAACTTAAAAAAAACAAATGAACTATCGATATTGATGCACGTAGTAACATGGATGAATCTCATAATAATGCTAAGTGAAAGAAGCAAACCAAATAAAAATACATACTGGATTATTCCATTTATATAAAACTCTACCAAATGCAAAATAGTTGATAGTGACAAAAAAACAGTGTTTGCCTGGGTTGGGAGTGAGGCGCAGGGAAGGATGAGAGGAATTACAATGGGGTGCTGGGAGGCTTTGGGAGATTATGTGGATGTGTTCACTGTCTTGATTGTGGTGATAGTTTCATGGAGATACACATTTCTAATCTTATCAAATGGTACTCTTATTAATTTTCTTTGAAACCTCAATAAAAGAGGGTTAAAAATAAAGAATTGTAGGCCAGGCACAGTGGCCTGTAATCCCAGCATTTTGGGAGGCCAAGGCGGGCGGATCACGAGGTCAGGAGATCAAGACCATCCTGGCTAACACAGTGAAACCCAGTCTCTACTAAAAATACCAAAAAAAAAATTAGGCGTGGTGGCAGGCGCCTGTAGTCCCAGCTACTTGGGAAGCTGAGGCAGGAGAATCGCTTGAACCGGAAGGCGGAGGTTGCAGTGAACCAAGATCATGCCACTGCACTCCAGCCTGGGCGACAGAGCGAGACTCCATCTCAAAAAAAAAATTGTATCCCAAAGCTTAGGAATCAGTTGTGTTAAATATATACGCTCAGTAAGCCAAATAAATTGACCTATTTGATACATTTTTTTAAATCTTCATTTTAAAATGTTAGTGAATCAGGTACAAAATTCATATACATGTTGATATCAGCTGATCCCAGTTTTTCTTATGACCTCTTTTTGTCAAAGACTATGCCATTAATATTAAGAACAATTGTCTATTTGTTGTAGCAAATAGCATACTGAGTTTACCTAAAAGCTGATTTTAGTGACACTGACGTTAATAAGCGGTGATAAACACTGGGTCAGTCAGTCCATACACTGATCTTACAAGTTGTAAATATATTATTTCAAAAGAATATAGCATCTAAATATACTCTACAAAGCATTTATGACAACTTTTAAATTTAGTAAGCTCCCAAAAATTCAGTGTCTTAGGATATGGATTGAAATTATGATTTTTGATTTTCAGATATTTTTGCCTGTTTAATTATAAGACAAATCGGTGAACATAGCAATTAATCTGAAGTTGCTTATAGCTTTTTTTACATGAGACAGATTAGGTTATAGTAGTGATCAGTAGTAGAATTGATCGCTGCCTCATATTGTGTGTTTTAGAAATTTGACAAAAGCAAGTTGACAGCACATCCACTAGAAAATTCATGGCACGCCGGGCGTGCTGGCTCACGCCTGTAATCCCAGCACGTTGGGAGGCCGAGGCAGGCGGAGCACAAGGTCAAGAAATCGAGACCATCCTGGCCAACATGGTGAAACCCTGTCTGTATTAAAAATACAAAAATTAGCTGGGTGTGGTGGTGCGCACCTGTAGTCCCAGCTACTTGGGAGGCTGAGGCAGGAGAATCGCTTGAACCCGGGAGGCGGAGGTTGCAGTAAACCAAGATCATGCCACTGCACTCCAGCCTGTCGTCAGAGCGAGACTCCATCTCAAAAAATAAAATAAAATAAATAAAATTGGTAGCAGTCATTTTCTACTCATCCATTCCACCAAAATAATAATAATAATAATTGTCTTTGTAGTAAGACTACTCTTTACCCATCCTGAGGAAACTAGATCCCTAACGTTAGGCTAGGCAAATTATTGAGCAGGAAAGATTGTGGATAATTTTGCAAATAAGGGATCTTCTCACTGAAATATTGAAAGATTTTTGATTTTGCAAGCATTTTTAAGAAGCTACAATTACTCCTAGCTATAAAGATCCTGCAAAATACAGAAGTCCGCTGGAGCCAGTAGGTAATGGAACGACTCAGCATCTACAGAGGCTTATGACTCGCACATCCATGTGGGGAGGGCGGTAATGCCTTCCAATCCACCACCTTTCTCACAGCTAAGTCTAGAAAGCCCTCATTAGGGGACATTTTAACCTGGTAGAATTGTTTTAGGAGCAAAGTTGTTTATAGTCTTGTTTATTCTTATGTGACTCTACAGGATTTCCATTTAAGAAAAATTTTTTTTTTTACCTGTTACATCAATTTTTATTAAACTAAGAGACTAAGATGGCTAGTCTTCTGCTTTATCAAACATGGGATAATCGAAGCTCACTTTAGTCTTCTGTGAGAGGCTTGCATTTTTTAAAGAAAAAAGGACAAGTCAGGAGAGGGACAATTGCAAATGTCGTTTTTCAGGGATTTTCATTGGTTTACAGAAATAACAGTGATTGGCGATTAGATTGCTGTTTGAACCACAGGGTATGAGCTGTGGTGTCCAGCATATGGCATTGTTAGGTTAATTTATAGCTATTGGTGGTGTCAGTCAGAGCCCAGGGAGCAAGCAGCTTAGAAATGATTACTTAGCTCAGCTGGGGGGATAGGGGGACGTGACTGCTGTCTCATTCCAATGCCTCTTTGGGCCTGATCATTTAAAGGGGGTTGCATTCCTCAGATAAGCTTCTTTTCTTTCTCAACCCTAGGGGATTGGTGGTATCACTCACATTTTACAGATGGACAAGAGCACTTAAGTGACAGGCAGACCCAAGTTCAAACCCAAACCTGTCTGCCTTCAAATTGTCCATCACCTTCTACTCCATCACACTCCCTCCCACGACTGTAGCTTGACAATTTGTGAATGTAACATGAAAAACACTCTTGAATTAAGCCTTTATTCAAAATTGCCTGCATAAGACCACTTGTTGAAGGAGTGTTCTAAAGTAAGGAAGAAGGAGGGAATTTTTATAGAGCTTTAGGAGGAGAAGTCAGCTGAAGTCTAGCTTGAGTCAGAAACAACTGGCCAAAAAAAAAAACAAAAACAAAAACAAATTATTCTTGCCAATTAGCAACCATTGTTTGAGCCATTTGGATTTATCAAGATAGGTGAGGAAGAAATTAGGGACTGAGGTCATGAGCCAGAGGGCAGGGAGGAACAGCTCCTGGGGACAAGGAGAGGCAAGGCTGTGAGGGCTACACTGGAGCATTTGTAGTCCTTCAGGATCCCCTACACCAACATCTGGGATTCTTCTTTTTTTTTGAGAGAGAGAGTTGGCCCTGTCACCCAGGCTGGAATGCAGTGGCGCAATCACAGCTCACTGCAACCTCTGCCTCCTGGACTCAAGCAATCCAACCTCAGCCTCCCAAGTAGCTGGGACTACAGGTGTGCACCACCATGCCCCGCTAATTTTTGTATTTGTTTTGTAGAGACAGGGTTTCGCCATGTTGCCCAGGCTGGTCCTGAACTTCTGAGTTCAAGCTGTCCACCCGCCTCAGCCTCCCAAAGTGCTGGTATTTCAGATGTGAGCCACAATACCAGGCCTGGATTCTTCTTAATCTAGATGTAAAGGTTCACAAAGAAGGATCTGCTTCTGCCCACCACTACACAGCAGAATGTGTCTGGAAAGAGAAATTCTTTGCCTTAGGATTGTGTCATGCTCCCACCAATGTGTTGTTGCAGTCATGATGCTTAATGAAAAAAGCACTGCCCCTGGAGCTGGAAAACACGGACAGTCTCTGAACTTTTAACCTGTCTGAACCTATTCCCTCTAGGTGGCTGAAATGAGGTGATGTGAAGCAGTTTGTACAAAGTAAGAGCACTAGTTAGATATTAAGTATAATGCTAATATTAATTATTACTAAGATCATTTGGACTAAGATTTCTTGTAGTGAGGAGATTGTGGACTGCCTGATATATTTCATCAGAAGAGAAGGCTAGAGTTAAGCAGATGCATCAGAAAGCCGAAACACTTCAGAAAAAACCCTCTCAGTAGAGAAAGTGATATTAGATTCCTGTTGCAAAAGATCTAATGCCAGCTAAATTCTCTTTTGCTTTCTTGATAGAACAGGAGAATTGAGAATTAACTGGAAAGGTAATCCTTTTAAAGACCTCAGAAGATGGATCTGTTTGTTTCAATCTGCTTTTGAGGTAGGCTGCTATAAAAGAGATTCTTGTGGTGTTACTGTGCCTTCGTGCAGTAGCATAATAAAGAAAAGCAGAACCATCTGCTTTGTAACTAATGTTAATTTTATTAAGGGTGTAAATTTGGGGTCTTTCTTGTATTTGACTTTCTATTCCTTCCATTTTAAATTCTCACTTTAGACAACGAAAAGGGCTTATTGAAAGTATTCAAAGTTTGTGTCCATGGCTGAGCATGGTGGCTCATGCCTGTATCCCACCACTTTGTGAGACTGAGGTGGGAGGATCACTTGAGCCCAGGAGTTCAAGACCAGCCTGGGCAACATAGTGAGACTCCCATTTCTACCAAAAAATAATAAGTTAGCCAGGCGTGATGGCACACACTTGTAGTCACAGCTACTCCAGAGGCTGAGCTGAGAGGATCGCTTGAGCCCAGGAGGTCAAGGCTGCAGAAAGTCATGGTCACGCCACCGCACTCCAACCTAGGCAACAGAGTGAGACCTTGTCTTTAAAAAAGAAAAAAAAATATATATATATATATGTGTGTGTGTGTGTGTGTGTGTGTGTGTATAGATAGATAGATAAAAGCATAGGTTCATTTTAATGTCAATAAATATGAATTCAAAAATAATTTTATTAGGTTTTACTTTTCTTTTATTAGGTTGTTTGCTATGTCTTTGGCTGATCTAACAAAAACAAATATAGATGAGCATTTCTCCAGCGTGGCATTAGAAAACAATAGGAGATCTGCAGAATGCAAGAGAAGCCCAGGCACAGGCGATGTTTCACGGAACAGTAATGCTTCCGATAAGAGTGTTGATTATAGCAGATCTCAGTGCTCCTGTGGAAGTTTAAGTTCTCAGTATGATTATTCAGAAGACTTTCTCTGTGATTGTTCAGAAAAGGCCATTAACAGAAATTATTTAAAGCAGCCTGTGGTTAAAGAAAAGGAGAAGAAAAAGTACAATGTTTCTAAAATCTCCCAATCTAAAGGTAAGGAGTAAAATTTCCCAAGCAAGACCAAATTTCTGATCATAATGATGTTATTTTCCTGCACTAGTGTTTGAAATGGTTCATACTCAGTTTTATTGTTTTCCCATATTGTAAATGTGTATTACAGGCGAACTTTTCTAGAAGAAATTAGGAAATAGAGAAATTAAGAATAATTATAAAATAACAGAAAGGCTTCAAATGTAAAGCCTAACCCCTGCATAGCTTACCCTACTGGAGCCTACTAGTGAGGTTAGTTCCGTTTTTAGTTAACAGGTGGCCTTGTTACAGAGTACCACAATATTTGGATTTCACTGGCTTCTTGCCTTTCATCTCAGCTGAAGAATCAGTGTTTGAATCGCCAGTGAAATGTGAATACCTGTCTCAACACCCCAAGAGGATGGTCTCCAAGTCCGGTGAGGCATATTGGCAAAGACCATCTTTTGAAATGGAGATGGTTCAAAAGGCTGTTAATAATGTCATTTCTTTGCAGATTTTACCAATTCTATCAGGTCCCAGCTGTCCAAATTGGAATTCACTTGTGCTATCTTTGATCTCCTTTCTTCCTCCTTCCCTGCCCAGACTGTAATTCCTTCCTCTCATTTTAGGCAATCTTGAGCTCCTAAGTATTCCTGATATAGAAATAGCTGGAGCTCTTGTCCACATTGACCATCAGAGCACTTCAGTCAACAGGTGGACGATAAAGGGCCTGCTGTTTGGGGGGCACATCTGCCACTGTCATGTCCATACTGCATCTTGCATCCCCAACCTGCTGTTACCAGCTGTGTCCAGGACCCTCTGTGCCACTTCTGGAACACCCAGAATCTTCAGTTCCCCTGCTATAGGGCAGGGGTTCTTTATCTAAGACACATGTCTGTGAACCCCATGAAATTCTATGCATTTTTTTGTGTCTATGTGTGTTCGTAAACTTTTCTAGAAGGGCCTGTGCCTTTCACCAGAGTCTCAAAGGTTAAATGTTACTTTTCTAGAGAGGTGGGGGTCCTACCTCCACTGGCAAGGCCCAAGGCAGGAAATGAAAAGTCCGCTCCTTCTCTCATGCCTGGACTCCATCAAAAATGAACATCATGGTTAGATCCTACAAATACAGAATTCCTTATCCACATTTGAAATTTACAAGTCTCCAAAAACCCAACATCTTTCATATCCTTGGCATCAAAGTTGATTTGGCAACAAAAACCTTATTTGAACTAACATGAAGCAGATCTTTACTTAGTTCACTTAGTGTGAAGAGTCATTATATTTCACTGTAAAAGTATAGTTTCTTTAAAGGGTGTTGTTCCAGACCCCATGAGAGAAATGTGGAAAATACCATATATGCACTCACCTTTAAAACCCCCCAAATTCTGCAACATACCAGTTCAAGGGTTTACAATAAGAGATCTTGAATCTATATACTACATTTTATATTGATCGTAAGCTTTTGTGGGATCATGCAAGAGGGCAGTTAGCATTTATGAAACTTTCTACAAGAGAGAAACTGCATTTCAAGTTCTAAGTACCTTATAATTTAGCTTTTTAAAGCTGATTCCTCATTTATTTATTCAACAAATGCTTATTGAGTTCTTTGTGCAAGATGCCTGTTTATAAATTGAGAACAACCTAAATTAATTCAGTTACTTCACAGGAGACCAGAATCCTAAATTCCATTATCCAGAAGAGTAAAAGGTTTACTCTTACTTGGGTGTCCTTTTGTATATTAATACTCTGAAATTCTTTTAAATAAATCTTGCGTGCATCTTTAACTCAGATTTTTATGTCCCAGGAAACCCTTGCCCAGCGTATGATGAACGTAAAATACTAATTGCAACCTCAAGCTTTGTCACAGAAAAATAAAGTATTTCCTCGTCTTTTTCTTTTATTCCCCAGTTCATGTTTTGCCAGTGTTTGCAGCAGCCGGTAATTTCTTCCACCCTGGTGTCATATAATTCTAACCCAAAGCGAAGAGTCTTAATGTTTTAGCCAGTACAGCCCCTTCTCAAGCAAATGTTCAATTAAAAGTAGCTCTCTGACCCTCAGGGCAGGTAATGCTGAATGAGGAACCACCCACAGAGATTCAGAATTCACCAAAGAACAGTAGTAACATCAGAGATTATTTTCAATTCCCATCTTAGAAAATTGATGAAAGCAAATTTTATGGCAGAAAGACATTTCATGGAGAAAATTACGAATATGAAATGAGGACTTCAATTTAATAGAATTTTTGCTTTGGTCAAACATTGGAAATTTACTTAACTCATTGTAAATAGCAAGCAATATAGTCATACAATTTGCTTTTCAAAGATTATCCTTCTTTTCTAGAAAATGTCTTTTCAGAACTCTTTCAGTTACATATCCTGTTAAAATTGCTTCCTTGACAGATTTTCTTTGTCAATACAATGCCAAAAACATGTCATGGTCATTCAAGACATTAGTATGCAAAAAAAAGTTAATTTACCACATCCAAATGCTTGGAACACCTTTTGCCCTGTTGTCCTTGGTCAGGTATAGGTGGACAACCTAAGGCAGTGTTGAAGAGACACCTTCTCTAGCAGGCTAACAATGGAAACTACCGAGAACAGGAAGGGGAAAGGCTCCTCCTTTGAACCTCTTCTTCACCCTGGTTCGTGGAGAAAATGAGTTCATCCTTTTTAGGGTAAAATATAGTGTGGACCCCCCAGTCCGTATGTCAGAAGCAGAGCTGGAGTGAAGGTGTGGAGGAGCACAGGGATAGAATGGGACAATGAGACCAAAGGGGACAATGACAGGAGAGGGAACTAGGATGAGGCCAGGCGGAAGAGGAGGAGGAAACAGCAGGGACTAAGGAGGACAAGAGAGCTTCTACAGTAAGGGTTTGAGGAGGAGGGGCCTGGGAAGACAGGCTGGGAAGGAAGACAGGCCTGTTTGTGGGTGAAGTGAGCATGGGGACATTCTTAGAACTGTTCAGAAGAGCATACGTCATTATACATAATGTGCAGATGCCATTTTGGCAACTATGGACTTAAATTTATGTTTGTGGTGAATTAAGTTAACTTGAGTGAATGTTTTAATTCAGTGGTTTAAAACTTAGTTGTCTTAAGAATAGTCATTCATTCAGCTAAATCTGCTTCTACTATTTGTGAAATGGGATTGAAATTATAAATTATACCATTCTTATGTGTGGGTTAGGATAATGAGATATACAATCGTTAAGGAATACACCCTATTCCAATTTTCCATAGCCTTTATAGTTACACAAGCATGTGTGATGGATACAGTATGAATTTGTTACATACCCCTCAAACGCAAGTGGTACACTGACCTTTCTGAAGTCAACAAACCTGGCTTGTCCTCCCCACCCACTCACGAGGGTAGACAGGAAATTCCATCTCAGACACGTTTGGGGAATGAGGGAATATGAGGGGGCAGGGTGTGGAAAGGGCCTTACACAAATAATATTGGGGGAGGAGCCTCTGCCTTTCATTTTTACCGCTTACGTGTTCCTTGTCCAAGCCACGTGATCTTTAAAAGGCCAGCCCCTCCCCCTTCCATAGCATCCATGCCCTCTGTGCACTTCTTGACTCCTGGGGCCTTGGCCAGAGCTCCTGTGGCCGTGGCGTTTAGTCCCTCGGCACCCTCTCATGCCTCTGCCCTCCCATCACTTGAGCATGGCATAAGGGGAATATAAGCCTCCAGTGCCCGTGGATCCCATCATCCATCCTTCTCGTCTCAGTGAAATCGCTATCTCCTCCAGGGTCAGAGCACCTAAGAGCTGGAAGACATCACAAGTTGGGGGTCAGGTTCAGTCATGCGGGCCATAGTGTAGAACATGGACAACCTTTGCTCAGTCTTTGCCCACCCCTATTTTAAACCAGCCTGCTCCATATGGCCTGGGTCTAGAGCTTCCCTAGCCAGTGCCCAGAGTATTAAAGTGTACGGCCTCAACAAAATCACAGACACCTCTTCGCAGGCCTTCTAGTAGATGTCCTAGAGGCTGGCCTGCTCTGCTTCCCACTTAGTGTGCTCAGAAGCCTATTCTAAAATACTCAATATTCAGCCATAGCCCCTACTGAACTGTGGGAAAATAAATACACTTGAAGGCATAATTGCAAAGATAGGCCACCAGTTACTGATGTGATACTGTGTTGTATAATCTATGAGTTCTTTCATAGTTATGATTCAAATGCTTTATCTCCAGAAAGCATGCTTTGGCTCTCTTAGTTCATTGTTTCTATCACAGGTAGAATTGCCTGTTCCCACCCAACACAGACAGTGGGCTCTGTCTCACCACTTCCTAGCTGTGTGCTCATTGACAAGGGACATCCCCAAGCTTCAGTGTGTTTATCTTTAAAATGGGATAATAGTACAGTGATTTACACATGTATTTAACATACTCAAATTCAATTATGTAAGCTTGGTGCTAAGTGTGATGTTTTTTAGAGACTTTTGCTTAAGACAGACCCCTGGGCCGGGCACGGTGGCTCACGCCTGTAATCCCAGCACTTTGGGAGGCCGAGGCGGGCAGATCACGAGGTCAGGAGATCGAGACCATCCTGGCTAACATAGTGAAACCCCATCTCTACTAAAATACAAAAAAATTAGCCCTGCGCGGTGGCGGGCGTCTGTAGTCCCAGCTACTCGGGAGGCTGAGGCAGAATGGTGTGAACCTGGGAGGCGGAGCTTGCAGGGAGCCGAGATCGTGCCACTGCACTCCAGCCTGGGCGACAGAGCGAGACTCCGTCTCAAAAAAAAAAAAAAGGTAGACTCCTGAACACATGCCAATTACTTCATTTGGTGCCCAGCCAAAGTAACAGGAAAAATTGACTGTGTTGGATTTATTCAGAGATGGAAAATCAGTATCTGTAAAAATAGATAGACTCTTATATAATTTGATGGCCTTTTGAGGGTTATTTTGAATATATAAGTTCTTTACATTGGGCTCTCATGTTACACTCTAATTACCCTTAACATGTTGTTGAAAGGATTACATCAGATAATCTACAGAAAGCATTTAGTTTAATGTCTGACATATGATAAGCACTTAGTCAGCCATTATCATGGGGTTGGTTGGTTGGTTGGTTGGTTGGTTGGTTTTTGAGACAGAGTCTCACTTTGTCACCCAGGCTGGAATGCAGTGGTGCAATCATAGCTCACAGCAACCTCGAACTCCCAAGGGATCCTCCCACCAAGGCTTCCCGAGGAGCTAGGACTATAGGCATGTGCCACCAAGTTAGGCTACTTTTTAAAATTTTGTAGAGGCCAGGCACAGTGGCTCATGCCTGTAATCCCAGCACCTTGGGAGGCCGAGGAGGGTGGATCACTTGAGGGTCAGGAGTTCGAGATCACCCTGGCCAACATGGTGAAACTCCATCTCTACTAAAAATACAAAAATTACCTGGGCATGGTGGCAGACACCTGTAATCCTAGCTACTTGGGAGGCTAAGGCAGGAGAATCGCTTGAACTCCGGATGCAGAGGTTGCAGTGAGCCAAGGTTGCACCACTTCACTCCAGCCCGGGCAACAGAGGGAGACTCCGTCCCAAAAAATAAAATAAAATAAACATAAAAAATTGTGTTTTTTTTTAGAGATGGGATCTGACTCTGTTGATCAGGCTGGTCTCAAACTCCTGTCCTCAAGCAGTCCTCCTACTGCAGCCTCCTGAAGTGCAGAGATTACAGACATGAGCCTCTGCACCTGGCCTATTATCACAGTTTTTAGTCTAGCTGTTATAATAGAAATCTAAGTACAGATTTTAGAGTCAAAGAAGACCTGGTTTTCAATCCATTCTGTGTCACTTCGTAGCTATGTAACCTTGGACAAATGATGTAAAATCTCCAGCTATAAAATATATTACAACTGACATGGAATAATTGTATTAAATGAGATATTTATATGTAAACCACCTAGCCTAAAGCATGGATATTGATTAAATATTAGTTTTTTTCCCCTTCTAATTACACTTATGGTTGTGTGTATGTGTGTGGTGTGTGTGCAGGGGGGCGTGGGAGGGCAATTATGCATATGTGCATATTTGCATGTCTGTATATATTACTAGTAATAAACTGGATTATCTGCTTACACAGGCCAGAAGGAAATCTCAGTTGAAAAAAAGCACACCTGGAATGCATCACTCTTTAATTCTCAAATCCATATGATTGCCCAAAGAAGAGATGCTATGGCTCGTCGAATACTCTCAGCAAGGCTTCATAAAATTAAAGGACTAAAAAATGAATTAGCTGATACGCATCATAAATTGGAAGCCATCCTTACAGAAAACCAATTTTTGAAACAACTTCAGCTTAGGCATTTGAAAGCTATAGGAAAATATGAGAATTCACAAAATAATCTACCTCAAATTATGGCTAAACATCAGAATGAAGTAAAAAATTTAAGGCAACTACTTAGGAAATCCCAGGAAAAGGAAAGAACGGTATCTAGGAAACTTAGAGAAACTGACAGCCAGTTACTGAAGACTAAAGATACCCTGCAGGCACTGCAGAAACTTTCTGAAGACAAAAACCTTGCAGAAAGGGAAGAACTCACTCATAAATTATCTATTATCACAACAAAAATGGAGGCAAATGACAAAAAAATACAGGTCTGTATTTCAGGAGCCCAGATAGTTTAAGATTTCGAAGTGAATAGAGAGAGGGTGTGAATTAATCATGGATGCGCCCCCTCTGTAACAAAGTGTTACTAACTGCTTTGCTTGGCGTGCTACACTAATTATTGTCTAATAGAGGGCAGGGTTTGAAGGAAAAACAGAGCAGCTCAAACTAGAAATGTTCATCTGTTGCAGTGCACAAGCGTTCACTCTGTGGCTAGGCTGGTTTATGTGGAAATGACCATTGCACAAGCGTTCACTCTGTGGCTGGGCTGGTTTATCTGGACACGACCATTCTCTAAAAGAGTACAGCTACAGTGCTAAGGGACTTTTTCCCTGTGCTTTAAAGATTGCATTGTGTTACATGAAACCTCTCTTTGAAGTCAACCCTCTACCTTTACCTGTTGATTAAAAGGCTACTTCCCTAAAAACCTACTCAGTGCATCCGTTCAGTGCCTTTTGCATTCTCCCTCACCATTTTGGCCAGGCATTACCACACAAACATTTGTAGTTATTTTCAAAATAGCAATTTTTCCCAGATAATGTTCCTGGTAGTAGGGAAGGAAAAGGAATTAAAATAATTAAAGAGATGACTGGATTGATTTTCCTCAACGGTATATGGTTGTCAAAAGCCTGGGGATTACATTATAAGAGATGACTTGGGAGAAGGAATTGATATCATATTAAGAATTCTCCTGCATGTCTTGCATTAGATAGTTTGAGTCTGTTTGGACATAAACATAAATGGAATTAATTTAGGGTTTAATTATTTAATATTTGATGCTGAAACACAAGTATTTTCTATGATCTTGAAGTAAGTAAATACCTGGTTCATTTCCTCCACGTTTTTATCTCAATTATTTCTTCCGTTGTTAAAATTCTCTATTTTCCAGAAAATTTTTTTCACATGAAATTGATATATGATCTACAGAAAATAATGAGCAACCTCATTTTTCACTCTTGTATACCAAAGTGATATTATTTGGCCTTTTAGGTAATATTGTATTCATCTTAGCATATGTCTGTCATGCAAAAGCAAATCTATTTTTATATATGTATCTAAATAGTTCATGTTTTTATATCCGTACATAAAACCAAAACAAATTCTATAACTATTTTCTTTGATACAAAAAGCACTTATCAAGTATGAGAAATTTCTGTTTGGTTGTAGGCATTTAGTGGAGGAAAACTGTTTTGTGAACCAAAACGTGTGACTTCTGTAACATTAATGTTTTAGGGAGTGGTACTTTTAGTGATTCTTTCCCCCTTTTAGCTTTCCATGTCTTTCACTTTTCCTGTCTGGGAAAGTACTGCTGTTATAATGGAGGAGGTCCTACTTTATGTTAAAACAAAAACAAATGGTCCTTTTGGTAAGCCTTCGTCAAGTCCAGATCTAACAGTTCTCAATAAAATAGTTCTCATTCCCGAGAGCAGATGAATATGTTTTGGATGGCTATTGAGTTAAATCAGTCATTTCATTGCCTAGTAGTCCATCAGTGTGGATGGATGTGGTGGTTTGAGTCCCTTTTATAACATTCAGTTTCTGTTGTCTGGGAATGACCATCCATGATGTCTACTGATTTCCAGGATCTGGTCAGAATTGTTAAATCGGGTGGGTCACAGTGGCCTCACACCTGTAATCCCAGCACTCTGGGAAGCCGAGGCGGACAGATCACTTGAGGCCAGGAGTTCAAGACCAGCCTGGCCAACACAGCAAAACCCCATCTCTACTAAAAAATACAAGAATTATCTGGGTGTGGTGGCGTGCACCTGTAAACCCAGCTACCCGGGAGGCTGAGGCAAGAGAATCACTTGAACCCAGGAGGTGGAGGTTGCAGTAAGCCGAGATCGCACCACTAAATTCCAGCCTGGGCAACAGAGTGAGACTCCAACTCAAAAACAAAAAAGAATTTTTAAATCAAATTTTAGAGTATGTAAAAAACAGGCTCAAAACGTGTGATATTTGTTATCTAGAGCTGGGATCTGGGATTTGGGGGCTTTCTTTTGGTTATACTTCATTCTAATATATGTCCCCCATATAAGCCATTCACTAAAATTGTATTGAAAATGTGCACTTTTTATAAATGTAGTTAGTTCCATGATAATTAAAGTTGTTAATATACTAATTTGGTTGCAGAATAGTTAAAATATATACTGTTTTCAGAGCTTGGAAAAACAACTGAGGTTGAACAGCAGAGCCTTTAGTCGGCAGCTGGCTATTGAGACTCGGAAGACTTTAGCAGCTCAAACAGCTACCAAGACTCTGCAGGTGGAAGTAAAACACCTTCAACAAAAACTTAAGGTATTTCTTTTAAAACAAAATATAAGAATGAAATTCTGTTTCCCGAAATATATGAGCTATTTATGCCTATTATATCTTTAAGTGATTTTTTATTATATATATATAAAAGTCTCCTCTCCCCTTTGCAGGGGGCCTGGGCCCCCATCCACAGTTCTGTTTATCTTTCTTTCTTTTTTTTTTTTTTTGAAATAGAGTCTTGCTCTGTCGCCCAGGCTGGAGTGCAGTGGCATGATCTCGGCTCACTGCAGCCTCTGCCTCCCAGGTTCAAGTGATTCTCTTATCTCAACCTCCTCAGTAGCTGGGACTACAGGCATGCGACACCACGCTTGGCTAATTTTTGTTATTTTTAGTAGAGATGGGCTTTTGCTATGTTGGCCAGGCTGGTCTTGAACTCCTGGGCTCAAGTGATCCGCCTGCCTTGGCCTCCCATAGTGCTGGGATTACAGGTGTGAGCCACTGCACCTGGCCTAAATTATGTAACTTCATTAATATCTTTCTCAGATATTTTCCCTACAATCATATGAACAGAGGATCTGCAATTATTAGAATGAGTTACAGCTTGGTGAATGTGTACTGTGATTAGAAAAATATAAAGTCTATTCATTAACAAGGCTTCTTGTTACCATTCTTTTTTTTTTTTTTTGAGACGGAGTCTCGCTCTGTCGCCCAGGCTGGGGTGCAGTGGCCCGACCTCAGCTCACGGCAAGCTCCGCCTCCCAGGTTTACGCCATTCTCCTGCCTCAGCCTCCCGAGTAGCTGGGACTACAGGCGCCCGCCACCTCGCCCGGCTAGTTTTTTTGTATTTTTTAGTAGAGACGGGGTTTCACCGTGTTCGCCAGGATGGTCTCCATCTCCTGACCTCGTGATCCGCCCGTCTCAGCCTCCCAAAGTGCTGGGATTACAGGCTGAGCCACCGCGCCCGGCAACCATTCTTATTTCATCACGTTAATATAGCATTTGTTAACATTTTAATGTTGGCCGGGCGCGGTGGCTCAAGCCTGTAATCCCAGCACTTTGGGAGGTCGAGACGGGCGGATCACGAGGTCAGGAGATCGAGACCAGCCTGGCTAACATGGTGAAACCCCGTCTCTACTAAAAAATACAAAAAAACTAGCCGGGCGAGGTGGCAGGCGCCTGTAGTCCCAGCTACTCGGGAGGCTGAGGCAGGAGAATGGCGTAAACCCGGGAGGCGGAGCTTGCAGTGAGCTGAGATCCGGCCACTGCACCCCAGCCTGGGCCACAGAGCCAGACTCAGACTCCCTCTCAAAAAAAAAAAAAAAAACCATTTTAATGTAACTCAAAATTAATGTTTAAAAACATGTAATATTTAAGATAAATTTTAATGACATAAATTTATCTTAGTTTTACTTACAAATGTGTTTGAAAAACTGTCTTTTAAAAATATGTATACTGCTTTAAAAATAAGAATTTTAAAAAATATTTTGTCAGGCTTTTTGCTATTTTTCTGCCTTCAAGATGGGTAAAATGTCCAACAATTTAGATAAGATGCTTAAGAAATACTCAGTTTCAAGCCTCAACTAATAAATCTTAAGTTGGATTCTTTAAGACAAAGATCTTTAACTTTTTTTATTTTTAAGAAAGGCAAAAATGAGCTCCTTTAGGCCTCTTTTACAAGAGCACTAATCCCATTCACAAGGATTCTGCCCTTGTGACCTAATCACCTCCCAAAAGGCCCAGGTCATAAAAGTATCACCGTGGGGGCTAGGATATTAACATAAGAAATTTAGCACCATATCAATAATTTCCCTTTTTTTTTTTTTTTTTTTTTGAGACAGGGTCTTGCTGTGTTGCCCAGACTAGAATGCGGTGGCACCATCTTGGCTCACTGCAGCCTGGAACTCCTGGGCTAAAGTGATCTTCCCACCTCAGCCTCCCAAGTAGCTGGGATCACAGGTACATGCCACCATACCCAGCTAATTTTTAAAATTTTTGTAGAGACGGGGTCTCACTGTGTTGTCCAGGCTGGTCTCAAACTCCTGGGCTCAAGCAGTCCTCCTGCCTTGGCCTCCCAAAGTGTTACAATTACAAGTGTGAGCCACTACACCCAGCCTGATCTTTAACTATTTTATGACAAGTAGGCAATTTAGATTCCTCAGGAACGTTGAGATCACTCAGAGACAGGAGAAGAATACTGGGGGGTGAGGAGTTTGGACGGAGCTGGACGAGTTGGATAATTCATCTGATGAATTTGTTGGTATCATTGAGAACTGGGATTTGGAGGATGGAAGAAAGAAAATTATTCCTTTGTAAAGAAGAAAAAAGAGTTCTTTTCCTTTTTTCTATGGAGTTCCAGGAAACTTCAAAAAGAATACACAGAACATAGGCATGGCTATTGCAGCTAGCTGAGAAATCTAACAGAAGAGACTTCAAGATCCCCTGGTCACAGCAAACACACACACATATGGAGACACAATTGGGGAATTTTAAAATAAATTTTGCGCTTCCTCATGCAGACATATAAATATGAATAATATGCAGCCATTAAAAAACCATTTCTTGCCAGGCGCAGTGACTCACACCTGTAATCCCAGCACTTTGGGAGGCTGAGGCGGGCAGATCACCTGTGGTTGGGAGTTCGAGACCAGCCTGACCAACATGGCGAAACCCCATCTCTACTAAAAATACAAAAATTAGCTTGGCATGGTGATGCGTGCCTGTAATCCCATTACTCGGGAGGCTGAGGCAGGAGAATTGCTTGAACCTGGGAGGTGGAGGTTGCAGTGAGCCGAGATTGCACCACTGCACTCCAGTCTAGATTACAGAGTAAGACTCCATCTCAAAAAAATAAAAAATAAAAATAATCATTTTTAACAGAGAAATGCTTAATACTTAAAGAAATGCTTAATGAAAAGATAGAAAATTCTATATACAGTAAGATCCAAATTTATTTTTAAAAAGAAAATTAAATGTACCTCCACACAATGGATATCTATATATCTGTAAATAGCAACAAAGAATCTTGATGCACTACTATGGAATAATCTCTAGGATACATTGGTAAGTGAAGAAAGGGAGGCAGACGAAACTAATATCCTTGATATGGTTTGGCTGTGTCCCCACCCAAATCTCACCTTGAATTGTAGCTCCCATAATTCCCACATGTCATGGGCGGGATGGGTAGGAGGTAATTAGATCATAGGGGCAGGTCTTTCCCGTGCGTGCTGTTCTGGTGATAGTGAATCAGTCTCACGAGATCTGATGGTTTTATAAAAAGAAGCTCCCCCACCGGGCACGGTGGCTCACACTGGTAATCCCAGCACTTTGGGAGGCCGAGGCGGGCAGATCACGAGGTCAGGAGATCGAGACCATCTGGCAAACACAGTGAAACCCCGTCTCTACTAAAAAATACAAAAAATTAGCTGGGCATGGTGGCGGCACCTGTAGTCCCAGCTACTCGGGAGGCTGAGGCAGGAGAATGGTGTGAACCCGGGAGGCGGAGCTTGCAGTGAGCAGAGATCGCACCACCACACTCCAGCCTGGGCGACAGAGGGAGACTCTGTCTCAAAAAATATATTAAAAATAAATAAATAAAAAGAAGCTCCCCTGCACAAGTCCTCTGTTGCCCACTGCCATGTAAGAAGTCCCTTTGCTCTTCCTTTGTCTTCAACCATGATTGTGAGGCCTCCCCAGCCATGTGGAACTGTGAGTCCATTAAACCTGTGTCCTTTATAAATTACCCAGTCTCAGTTATGTCTGTATCAGCAGCCTGAAAGCGGACTAATACAATCCTACTTAAGATAAAGGAAGCAACAGAAATATATCCACTTATTTGCCTACATTTAAAAAAGAAACCAATAATAGGATAACAGCAGAAAAAAAGGAGAATAGAGTAGAAGGGACAGCTCTAGAACCTAGATTTCTTTGTGGAACCATATAAATCTTTCCGTAAGTATGAAGCAGAATTAAATGTAAAAAAAAATTAAAAAGCAGCTGGGCACCGTGGCTCATGCCTGTAATCCCAGCACTTTGGGAGGCCGAGGTGGGCGGATCACCTGAGGTCAGGAGTTCAAGACCAACCTGGCCAACATGGTGAAACCCCATCTCTACAAAAATACAAAAATAAAAAAATTAGCCAGGTGTGATGGCGCATTCCTGTAATCCCAGCTACTGGGGAAGCTGGGGCAGGAGAAACACTTGAACCCCGCAGGTAGAGGTTGCAGTGAGCTGAGACTGTGCCATTGCACTCCAGCCTGGGTGACAGAGCAAGACTCTCTCAAACATAAAATAAAATAAAATAAAAAATAAAATAAAATAAATAAAAAATAAATAAAAAATAAATAAAATAAAATAAAATAAAATAAATAAAATAATAAAATAAAATAAAATAAAATATATAAAAAATAAAAATATAAAAAATAAAATAAAATAAATAAAATAATATATAAAAAATAAAATATAATATAAAAAATAAAATAAAATATAAAAAATAAAATAAAATATAAAAAATAAAATAAAATAGTAAAATAAAATGCTATCCCTAAATATCCAAAGTAAAATGCAAATGAACCCAAATGTGTATACAGTTAGCCCTTTGTAACTGCAGGATGCAGAACCTGTGGACAGGGAACGCTGACTATATCCTATTGGTGGCACAGAGCCACAGAAGGAAGTCATTCCAAGTGACTTAAAACACATAATGTCATTGCATATGGCCAGTGAGATGCACTGTAAGGACACAAATAACTTTACAAAACATCTGACACTGTTTAGTAATGATATTGTTGGTAATGATGGTGACGTTGTTGTTTTGAGAATGTTGTGTATATCTTACGGTATACACCTCCTGATAGATTATGGTAGTGTCATTGAGAACTGGGATTTGGGGGATGGACAAAAAAAAAGTACAGAAGAGAGAGTCAAATAAAAATCCTATAGTCCTGATTTTGATCTGAAGTGAAAGTATGCAATATTCTCAGAGTAGCCAGGAGCAATGAATACCCCCAGCACCCAGATTATGGTCTGTAAGTTCCATATCCCACTAAAACAAACCAAGGCTCCCTAAAAAATTCTAGGTCTGGTACAGGAAATACATTAGATGGGCCTGGAACATATTGTCATACAAAAGCAAGGAAGCTATTAAGGACCATTAGGGTAGTATCAAAAGGACTCAGGCCCATCTAGAATAGGTTCTTACTGGCCAAAGATGGGGAAATTTGAGGATCAATGAAGATAACTGCCCAGGTTAAAACTTATCAAATGAATCCACAGTTCACAGTGATACTTAAGAAACTAAATGCCTCAGTGATGAGTCACTTGTGGCGGATACTAGGGAACAGCATGCTGTTTTGAAGACTGGTCAGTAGAGGACAAGAGGCAAACATTTTTACCTTTCCTGTATGAACGACCCCTCAGAGTAACCAAATCATTTGTGAGGGGATAAGATCCTGCTTATAAAAGCATTCCACTCAATAATGAAGAAGGAATGACAGGATTGGAATATCACTATTTTGGAAACTCCTAATGAATTAATGGCTCTAATCAATGATCATCAATGGCTCCTAGTATCACAAAAGAGATACGCGCTTCCTGACAGAGGTACACACCACCACCTACTCATGCCAAAGAACCGAACCTAAACCTGGTTACACACTGGGCTCTACCTACCAATTGAAAAGCAGAGGGGAGAACATGCTCAGGATGGGATGCAGTCAGCACTGTGAGACTATGGGAAACTGCATTACAGATACCCCCATTTCTACGATTAAGTAGCAAAGCAGAAAAAATAAGAGGTGAGAGTGAGAACCTATAGATTAAAAGACAGTAAGAGATATATTAATCAGTCACAGTGTTTTGAACCTTGTTTAGATTCTAATTCAAACCTTTTAAAAATGATAGAAAATGGGGAAAATGTTAAACAAACTGGATATTTGGTTATGTGAAGGAATTATTGATTGGGGGAAGTGGAATGAAGACACTGCAGTTAGGTTTTAAAAGGGATACCCTTGTTTGCTACAGATACTGAAATAAGTTATTAGAGGGCTAGATTTGCTTCAAATAAGCCAGGGCTGGGGAGTGGGGCCAGAGAGAGTGGGAAACAGGATATGAGCTGTTCATTAGTGAAGCCGGGGCATGGGCTAGTGGAGGTTGACTGTACTATTCTACTTTATATATATATATATATTTTTTTTAATTTGTATAATAAAGTTTCAAAGGGAAAAATGTTTTTGAGATTACATATTTTGTGCATTTTTAAAAGAGTAGAAATGGCTAGATCAAGAAGGTTGCCCGAACACATGCTTTTTGTCCCTCCCTGCCAAAGCCCCATAGAAATGACAGAAAATGTATTTTTAAAATAACGCTCCAAACCAGGCATGGTGGCATACACCATTTTTTGGGAAGTTGAGGCAGAAGGATCTTTTGAGCCCAAGAAGTCAAGAGCAGCCAAGGCAACAGAACAAAGCCTGTCTCTACAAAAAAATTTAGAAATTATCTGGGCATGGTGGCACACACCTGTAATCCCAGCCACTCCAGACACTGAGGCAGGAGGATCTCTTGAGCTCAGGAGTTGGAGGCTTTAGTGATGGCACCACTGCACCCCAGCCTGGGCAACAGAGAGAGACTCTTGTCTCTAAAAATAAATAAAATAATCCAGAATCCCAGAAAGGATACCAAAACTACCAGATCTAACAAAGAATTTCTGGAAGATAAAAAATGGGTTTTCCTTTTTTTTTAGATTAATGAAACCAAACATAAGACAATCACAAACTAAAATATGCACAGATACACACACACACACACAGAGAGAGAGAGAGAGAGAGAGAGAGAGAGAGAGAGAGAGAGAGAGAGAACCGGACAGATGCAACACTGCCTTTTATGACCTAGCCTTGGCAGTCACACAGCATCACTTCTGCAGTGACAAGGTGGTCCTAGGCAGTTCAAGCAGTGAACTCCACCTCTTGGTAGGGTGTCACAAGGTCCTTGAAGAGCATATGGGACTAGAAATCTTGTCGTGGGAATTCTAGGAAAATACAGTCTGCCACATTAACGAAAGTCATTGTTTGAGCTTGGAAGAGTCTGGTCCCAAAGGTCAAAAGTTCTGTTTCTTTACTTTGAAACTCATTTTCAAAGTGATCCCACACCAAGGTCTAGGCCCACTTCTGGAGTATGAGCCGAAGTAAGAAGAGGGATGTCAGCCTTCCACAGCTCCCACATGAGGTACTGCCACCCGTCTTATACCCAGGCTACAGTCACACTCCTGCATTAAGACATTGCTTTCTATCTAAGTTCTGCAAGGCATCAACGCTGACCTTAATATGATTCCACACCATGACCCAACTTCCCCTTTAACTCTTACTTGATACCCTTTGCGCTTGCGGGGAGTCTCTGCGCTGAGTATTCCACGAGCATTCCATGAACATTCCCAGCCACGGATTGTTTTCTTGTTTGCCTTGACTGATTGAACCCAACTACACGAGTCTCCCGGGTTGTGTTCCAGCCTGCTGTGTTAGACTTCTGGCCCAGCTCTGTCGTGGTGCCCAACCTGAAGCTCTGCTCCAAGCCTCAAGGAGGACTATCCTCCAGGTTGCTTCCATTTGACCCCCACCGCCCCTGTGGCGGCCCCCCTGTTCTTGCTCTGCCTCCTTCCTGCTCTCTGTTGCTGACCTCCAAGTGTCCAGACCAAATCAAAAGGTAGAACTGAATTTTTCAGGTAACCAAAATTTGTCCCTGTAAATATGAAAATGTTTCTTAACCGGTATGGATGAAAAATCATTCTAAAATGTTTTACACAGTATCCTTCATCTGAAAGCTATTATCCAGAATATACCTGATCAACTTTTCATGGTGATGAACTGTCAGCATTTACTGTTCTTTTGGCTAAGTGTTACCACAATAAGAAAAGAGAGATGAACTGTTAACATTTTTGCCTCCAGAAACTTAAATTCTAGAAAAGATTAATATTCTCGTGTTTTATCCCTTTGTGTACCTCTGATAATAAACTAATTTTATGATTCAATGAGTAGAAAATCTACACTGTACAATTCAGGTACAAAAATATATCATGTTCTTTATTTTCTGTAACTGAGCCATACTTCCTTATGAGCCCCAGTCCCACAAATTAGGGATGAGGGTGGCAGTTGGACAAGGAGAAATGGATACAAGCTCATCACAGTCTCTTCTGACTCCAAACAGTCTTATGCTAGGTTGTCTCGTAGACTTGCAGACTTTTTCCTCATCCCTATCTTCTGTCTCAGTGGAGATGGCATCCTGGGCATGAGAGAAAACATATGTGTACTCTTGGTGGAGCCGAAAAGAGGCCTCTGGTCTGTATTCTGCCCTCTGGCCCCTCTCTAGACCTGCTTCTCCTGATGAGTGACTGGTCTTAAATTCCCAGGACCCTGTCTGATGTGTACTAAATGTGGCAGCTAAAACTCCTGGCCTCTTCTCAGTCTGGTCAAATAAATCCTGGTGATCTTCCCTTGCTGACTGTTGATGCAAATGCTCTGAGATGCATCCTCCATCTGATCTCTGGCTAGATTCTCTATCGCAAAGCCTGTGCTATGGGAGCACCTGGACCTGTAACCTTAAGGACTCCAGAGCAGTGCAGCTCCCTCCACAGGTCTACTGGTTGCACAGGGAAGGGAAGCACAGTCTGTGGCCTGGAGACAGTATTTAGCCCTTTCTGACTTACCACTTGGGCAATACCACGTTACTTTAGCTCCATGATGAATGGGGCTGGGAGGCGCTTTTTAAGGTGCTTGCAATTTTCCTGGACCACACTGAGGCCTCTTGCACTGAGACTTTCCCAAACTGCAGAGATGTTACTTACGCCCTACATATCCCTTGGCCCATAGATTTGACCCTAAGGAGCACAAGGAGACGAACGCGCTCTCTCTCTCTCTCCCCTGCCCCCACCCCTCCCTGGCCACCTCTGTGTGTGTGTGCGTGTGTGTGTGTGCGTGTGTGTGTGCGCGTGTGTGTGTGCGTGTGTGTGTGCGCGTGCACATGCATGCCTGTCACACTCTGACATCCCTGGCTTCCTTCCTCCTCACTTCATATATGCCCACCTCTCTTAACCATCGTTGTTACTAAAATTCAATGGTCGTGAGTCCAAAGCCTTTCTTGCCTCCTGGTGTACATATGAGAAGGAGCATTTGATATTTAATAAAAACCCTTTTTTTGTTCCTCAACAAGTTAAGGTTTCAAAACATCTGTTTTGCCAAGACTCAAAAAAGTCAATATTGAAATTTAAAATGGAACAATGATACCCTTGTTCTAGGCTTTCCCCCCACTGCCCTTGTCTAGATGTAGCCCTGTCTCATAGAACTTTCTATTAGATGGCGGAAATGTTCACCTGTGCCGTCCAATACTGTAGTCACTAGTCACACGCAGCTGCTGACCACTTATTGGAAATACAAATAGTGGGGCTGACAACCTAAATTTTAATTTAATTTCATTTAAATGAAATCACAACATATAGCTAGTGGCTACTGTAGAGCACAGTACAGAAGAATATTTCATAAACTTCAAGGCCCACAGGACAGAAGGAAACCAGTGGACAAGCTTACCTGCAAGGCTCTTCAAAAATACTGTCCCAATTACAATAATGTGTGACTTTGTTTAAAAAGCTAGTACTTTTTGATGTCAGGAATGGTATAGGATGATATGGCCTATTTCTGTTTCTTCTAAGATCTATAGATTTTATTCAAAGGATACTGAGCTCATTTAAATTGTTTTTAAAAGAAATCAGGGTTGACAAAAGCAAACATTTATAGAAAAATTGGTTTTGTGGTTCTTTTTAGGAAAAGGATCGTGAGCTTGAAATTAAAAACATCTATAGTCATCGAATACTTAAAAATTTACACGACACAGAGGACTATCCAAAAGGTATGTTTTAATTACTTTTGCTCAAAATCTATTTTTAAGTATCTAGTCAGATTGTCCTAATTTATGTAGCCAAAATAATGGATATTTTCAAAAATCACTTCATTAGGCATTAAAATATATTTTGTGATTCTAGAAGAATAATGAGACTGAGATGATGAGATGGCTAGAAAGGAAGAGAAATGCTTTCCTGTTCTCCTACCCTCAGCACAGCCCTTTATGTCCTTTCTTCAGGTGGAGCAAGAGGATAACTTCAGCCTCTTGAAGTTATCTGAAGCAAAATGTCTGCCAAAAAGGGAACTTTCTAAGTGTATCTGTTAGCCAGTGTATGGCTTTTCAAAATGAACTTTATTGGGGTATACTTTACCTCAATAAAATGCATCCATTTTAAGTGTGTACGCAGCTCAGTGGGTTTTGACAGATGCTTATACCGATGGAGCCACCACCCTAATCAAGATATGGAATATTTCCACCTCCCCAGGAAGCCTCCTCGTGTCCCTGCAGTCAGTAGTCCCCTACCTCACCCGGCAACCACTGACTTTCCTTTGGTCACAATAGCTTAGTTTGTCTGTTCTAGAATTTTGCGTAAGTAGACTCCCACAGCATGAACTCTTTTGTATCTGGCTTCTTTTGTTCAGCATAATGTTTTTGAGATTCGTCTCTACTGATGCCACTATCATTAGTGTATACCTCTCATTGGTGAAGAGTCTTCTTTCCTTCAAGACCACATGCACTTCCCCCCAAGATCTCCCAGCAACAGATTCGACTCAGACGTAGCATAGGAATACTCAGCGCTGTTTTATTAGAAGAAGTAGCTACATGTTTACTTCCAGATGCAACAAGCTCAAATTTCCTTCCCTGCCTTTGTGTGCTTCTGGCTTATATCTAGAATAATAGAGATGATGAATCAACCAAGAGGGTGTTTAAAAGATATAATTTCCTTCACTTTTCAGGGCAAGTGCAGTCTAGACTTAGTGGTCATGTGCTTTAGCACAGACAGTCTAACCACTGATATTCAAGATCTCTGCCACAGGATGGCTCGGTGGCCTGGCCTTTCACAGTTACACGTCTGCCTTGTTGAATCCCATCCACAAAGGACAGCCTTGTCCTCCAACAGCAACACTGTCTTATCCTAACACCTACTTGTTTTGTACTCTAACACTGTGGGGCCCAAAGTAAGACAAAGCAAGGGCCCTGAAGGGAAAAACAGGAAACTTAGCAAATGCTATATATATATATAGAATATTTAGAAAATATTTAGTCTACTTTATTATTACATTGCATTAATGTTATTTTATATTTAAAATCAATATTGCATCCAAATGTAAAATATGTTTCTTACATATAATCTACCTGTTCTATAGTTTCTTCAACAAAATCAGTCCAAGCAGACAGAAAAAGTTTGCCATTCACAAGTATGAGACACCAGGGAACCCAAAAATCAGATGTTCCACCTTTGACAACTAAGGTACAGCAAACTTGGAATCTTACAGTATCTAATTAAACATGTCTTAACAAAAATAAATTAGGCTACAGTCACTTGTTCTATGTGAAAAGTATTTGTAATCGTTAGACTAAAATGCAATTTAAAGTTATCTAGACCCCCCAAAATGTGTTTTTGCTGCTTTTCTAAATCATAGAGTAAAAAGGCAACAGGAAACATGGATCATAAAGAAAAATCAACTGAAATAAATCGTGAAATTCCTCACTGTGTCAATAAACTACCAAAGCAAGAGGATTCTAAGACAAAATATGAAGGTAATTTTAACAACTTTTTAAAGTCTGTCTTACTGGATTTTTTTTATTGTGAATTACTATATGTGTATATAAAGCACACGTAAAACAGCTGGGCACGGTGGCTCAGGCCTGTAATCCCAGCACTTTGGGAGGCTGAGGTGGGCGGATCACCTGAGGTCAAGAGTTTGAGACCAGCCTGGCCAACATGGTGAAACCCTGTCTCTACTAAAAATGCAAAAATTAACTGGACATGGTGGTGTGTACCTGTAATCCCAGCTACTCAGGAGGCTGAGGCAGGAAAATCACTTGGACCCAGGAGGCAGAGGTTGCAGTGAGCTGAGATCATGCCACTGCACTCCAACCTGGGCGACAGAGTGAGACTCCATCTCAAAAAAAAAAAAACACATCATAAAACAGTTTCCAGAATTCTAATAAAAGGAACACCTGTGTACCCAGTACCCTGCTTAAGAAACAGTACATGAGTGCTCCTTGGAACGCCCATGGGCCCTTCACAATCATATCCCCTCACCCTGCCCACCAGAAACCACCACCATCTTGGGTTTTAGGCCAGTCATTCCCTTGCTTTCCCTCACAGCTCCCTGTCTATATATAGCTATATTCGTCTGCTTGGGCTGCCATAAGAAAATACCATAGACTGCCGGCTTAAACAACATTTATTTATTTTCTCATGGTTCTGGAGGCTGGGAAGTCCAAGATCAAGGTTCTAGCCCTTTGGCTTCTGGTTGAGGCTCTCTTCCTGGCTTTAGATGCCTCACTTCTCACTGTGTCTTCATGTGGCCTTTCCTTAGTGCTTGCACAAGGAGGGTCAGGGAGAGAGCACCAGTGCTCCACTGTTTCTTTTTATAAGGACACTAATTCCATCACGAAGGCCCCAACCTTGTGATCTCATTTAACCTTAATTACTTCCTTAAAGACCCAGTCTTCAAATATGCCATACTGGGGGGTTAGGGCTTCAACATATGAAATTTGGGAGGGAGGAACACAAACATTCATTTCATAATAGTATCCTTAAATAATATATTCAGCTTTGGAAAACTGAGTAGCAAATTATTCAAATCCAGCTGAGCAAAGGGCAATATTGCCACTTTTGAATAAAGACTTCCAGGAAAAGGACTCCGGCTTCAGCTCCCCTGAATGTACAAGGGCCCAGTCAGTGGGTGAGGTCATGAGAGAGCTAGGGCCGAGAGAACGGGCTGCTCAAAATTTCTTATTCTAAGATCACCAAAGCTTACCTCCAGCTCTTGGGAGTAGGTGGAAACAAACTGCTTCTGTGGGGTGCAAGGAGAGTCCTCAGCTGGCCCAGGCTGCAGGGTTTGATAGAGAGTACACCACTTCATCAGCCATGGGCAAGACAGGCCAAGGCCCCGGCTCACCTGGTGTTTGGTACCTGGAGGTCTAATGGAGCGGGGATCCCAGTCTGTCTCCTCATCTCTGGTGTGCAGCTAGCATCCTGGGATTGCCCTTCATCATTTCCTGCAGGTTCCTGTCACTCCCCTTCTCTACTGGATCTTCTCTTTCCTAAGCCAAGTCCTCCTCTTTCTTGGTAAATTACATCATGTTTTAAAGAGCATAACCTTCACAAGCTTCTTGTAAATGGGTGCAGGTAAGGTAAATTTGTATACCTCTCATCTGGAAGTGTCATTATTCTGCCCTTACACTTGATTCATAATTGCCTAGATAGGAAACTCTAAGTTGGGGGTCATTTTCCTTTGGAATTTTGAAGATGTGGCTCATTGTTTCATGTTACATCACCACTCATGGGAGATCTGGGTGCAGTCCCACAAGGCTGGGCAAGAGCAGCTTCTGAGGAAAGAACATGCATGATGAATGAGTCCCAGAGTTTACTCAGGGCTGCAAATCAGACGTGTTCCCTTAGGCAGCATGGAGAGCCCTTGTTGAACACATTGGGCATTCAGTAGAGGACCAAGAAGGGCCTTACCTTAGTTGTGAGGCCAAATAATGTTTAAATAACACAGTAATTTGACAGAACTCACCCATAAAGCCACTCTCTCTGTTGCAGTTTGGTGGAAACAGTGCAAGTTGCAATTGCACTGTGGTCACTGGTGTGTTTAAGTTTTCCGCTTATTTTTCAGTCCATTGTCCTAATTCATATTGTCCTAGAAAGTGTATCCATTCATTTGACAAATACTTTGTGCACATACACTATGTGTCAGACACTGTTCTAGGCGTTAGGGAGACAGCAGGAAGCACATGCAAACCCTGCCCTCATGTGCTTATATTCTAGTATGGGAACCTCTCTCCCCATCAGTTCACATGGATCCAGCTCATCGTCTAGAATAACTGCCTGGAATTCCACAGACTGCACATGCCATACCTTATTTAACCATGATTCCTTCGGCAGATGTTTGGGAGGTTTTAGTGTTACTAAACCATGCTGCAGTGAACATCGTTGCATTTATCTTTGTCTATTTTTTGTAGGTTTGTTCTAAGAAGAAGTTGTTGGGTCTAAGAGTATATTCACTTAAAATGTTGACTGATACTGCCAAATTGCCATCCAAAAACGCTGTGCCAATAACACACCCACCAGTGGGGACCAAACATTCCCGTTGCCCCATCTTCTCACCAGCTCTAGAAATTATTTGTCGATTGGATGGATGAAAAATGTTCTCATTGGTTTGTTTTGTTTTGTTTTGTTTTGTTTTGTTTTGTAACAGCTCTGCTCTGTTGCCCAAGCTGGCATGCAGTGGCACAATCACGGCTCACTGCAGTCTTGTCCTCCTGGGTTGAAGTGATCCTCCCACCTTAGCCTCCTGAGTAGCCAGGACTACCGGCATGTACCACCACACCCAGCTAATTTTTGTATTTTTTGCAGAGATGGGGTTTCGCTATGTTGCCCAGGCTGGTCTCAGACTCTTGAGCTCAAGCAATCCTCCTGGTTCAGCCTTCCAAAGTGCTGGAAGTACAGGTGTGAACCACTGCACCCAGCCATCACTGTTTTAACTGGCACTACATCCAGTTAGTCATGTTGAACGTCTATTAATAACCTTATTGGCAAATTTTATTTCTTCTTCAATGAATGTCATTTTTCTTTTGGTTTCATAATTCCCATTTGCTTGGGAAATTCTAAGAAACTATAACATAACACATTTGTTAATAGCACCCTTCTCTGTAACCTATTGTCTATGCATCCATTTTCTTACCTTTTCTGTCATTTCAATGTGCTTGTGAGGCGGTGCAAATAAGTGTCCTAGACATGCCATCCTGAAATAGAGATCCATTCATTTTGAACAGCACTAAATTGCCTGTTTCTAATACAGATTTATCAAGGGAAGAGAAACATTTGGAAGTGCAGGTACTGCTGGAGAACACTGGAAGACAAAAAGACAAAAAAGAAGACCAAGAAAAGAAAACCATCTTTGTGAAAGAAGAGCAAGAATTACCACCAAAAATAATTGAAGTTATTCATCCTGAAAGAGAAAGCACTCAAGAAGATGTTCTAGTAAGAGAAAAGTTTAAAAGAAGCCTGCAGAGAAATGGCATGGATGACACGCCTGACAAACGCACTGCCCCCTACACGAAAGGCCCCCTCAGGCAAAGGAGGCATTACTCATTCACAGAAGCCACTGAAAATCTGCACCACGGGCTTCCTGCTTCAGGGGGGCCAGCCAATGCCGGCAACACGAAGTACAGTCAGGGTACGAGCAAGCATCTCAGTAACAGACAGGAAATGCAGCTAGAGCATTCTGACAGTGGGTATGAGCCCTCATTTGGCAAGTCTTCCAGAATAAAAGTGAAGGATACAACTTTCAGAGATAAGAAAAGCAGTCTCATGGAAGAACTCTTTGGATCAGGCTACGTGTTGAAAACTGACCAATCAAGTCCTGGTGTTGCAAAAGGCTCAGAGGAGCCTTCGCAAAGTAAGGAGTCACATCCCCTGCCTCCCAGTCAGGCCTCCGCCAGCAATGCTTTCGGAGACTCTAAAGTAACTGTGGTAAATTCTATTAAGCCATCGTCACCTACAGAAGGAAAAAGAAAAATAATTATTTAAATATAATCAATATCCTACTGCATTCTGGTTTGATATAATGCTACTTATGTGCCTTGCATCTTATTTTTGAAATGTGTGAGAGAGGGAGTGTATGTGTGTGTGTCTTTTAGTACTTAATTGACTTTCAATAATTAAATGTTTGTTTTATTGCTAATCTAGTAAAAAATCTATTTTATATTAGCCAATGATAACACTTCAAATTTACATCTTTACAACTGAAACATCCATTATCTTCTGGGAGACTGGTTTACTACATGGTTTTAGTATTCCGTGGGACTCCATAGCTAGTAACTCTAAGTCAACTCAAAACATATGCATCTCATACACAACAAAATTTATCAGCAATAGAGTTGAATTGTAACTTAAAAACATGGAAGCAGGCCAGATGCAGTGGTTCACGTCTGTGATGCCAGCATTTTGGGAGGCCAAGGCGGGAGGATCACTTGAGTCCAGGAGTTTAAGACCAGCCTGGGCAACATGGCACAACTCCGTCTCTACAAAAATTACAAGAATTAGCCAGGTGTGGTGGTGTGTGCCTGTAGTCCCAGGTACTTGGGAGGCTGAGGTCAAAGAATCACTTGAGCCCAGGTCAAGGCTTCAGTGAGATATGATCGTGCCACCGCACTCCAGCTTGGGCAATCGGAGTGAGGCCGTGTCTCAAAAAATAAAAACAAAATGTAGCAGCAGCTTTGAAAGGGAACAATATGATCAAAAGACTCTTTTTACTAAAACAAAAAAACATTGGCTGGGTGCCATGGCTCACAGCAGTAATCCCAACACTTTGGGAGGCCGAGGTAGGTGGATCACCTGAGGTCAGGAGTTTGAGACCAGCCTGGCCAACATGGTGAAACCCTGTCTTTACTAAAAATACAAAAAATTAGCCGGGTGTGGTAGCACATGCCTGTAATGGCAGCTTCCCAGGAGGCTGAGGCAGGAGAATCACTGGAACCCGAGAGGTAGAGGCTGTAGTGAAGCCAAAATAACACCCACCACTGCACCCTAGCCTGGGCGACAGAGCAAGACTCTACCTCAAAGAAAAAAAAAAAAATACAGATATGTATCTGTGTGTATGATGTATATGTATATATATGTATGTGTGTGTGTATATATATATAGTGATTACCAAGCTTAGTTTTATGAATTTTTTTTTTTTTTTTGAGACAGAGTCTTGCTGTGTCACCCAGGCTGGAGTGCAGTGATAACAATCTTGGCTCACTGCAACCTCCACCCCCCAGGGTTCAAGCGATTCTCGTGTCTCAGCCTGTTGAGTGGCTGGGATTACAGGCGTGCACCACTACACCCAGCTAATTTTTGTATTTTTAGTAGAGACTAAAAATGGTTTTGCCAGGTTAGCCAGGCTGGTCTTGAACTCCTGACCTCAGGTGATCCACCTACCTCAGCCTCCCAAAGTGCTGGGAATGACAGGTGTGAGCCACCGTGCCCAGCCATGACAATCGTTTTTGAGTTTCTCTTATTCAGCTAACCTGGGTATCCAACGTCCTGCCTTTGTGGGTGATGCTTTCCTTGTGTACACCTGAGATCCAGTATCATTTATTGAGATTATTTTGCATACCTCTCCGTTGACCATTTTTCTGTTAATCTTGTTCTAAAAACCGTAAGAGTGCCATGGCCCTGCTGGTGTTATTCAAGATAGCTGCTCAGTCCTAACTAATATATTTACTAAACTTAGGATATTTTAAATTAGGACTATAAAAAGGAGGCTATACTCCCAGCCCCATTTTATTTAGCTTACCTTCATTTAGTTATAAGGGGGACTTGTTTATAATCTAGACCATACTATTTCCTTTCCAATGATGTTTATGGGTTGGTGTGTAATATTAACTGCAATGGCAGCTACCCAGCAGGCTGAGGCAGGAGAATCACTTGAACCTGGGAGGTGGACGTTGCAGTGAGCCAGGATCATGCCACTGCACTCTAGCCTGGGTGACAGAGCAAGACCCTGTCTCAAAAAATATAAAAATAAATATATAGCCGGGCACAGTAGCTCACGCCTGTAATCCCAGCACTTTGGGAGGCTGAGGCAGGCAGATCACCGGAGGTCGGGAGTTCAAGACCAGCCTGACCAACATGGTGAAACCCTGTCTCTACTAAAAATACAAAAATTAGCCATGCGTGGTGGCCAGCACCTATAGTCCCAGCTACACGGGAGGCTGAGGCAGAAGAATTGCTTGAACCTGGGAGATGAAGGTTGCAGTGAGCTGAGATCGCACCACTGCACTCCAGCCTGGGCAACAGAGTGAGACTCCATCTCAAAAAATAATAATAATGAAAATAAGAATAAAAATAATAGACCAGGCGCAGTGGCTCACACCTGTAATCCCAGCACTTCGGGAGGCTGAGGCGGGTGGATCACGAGGTCAGGAGATCAAGACCATCCTGGCGAACACGGTGAAACCCCGTCTCTACTAAAAAATACAAAAAATTAGCCGGGCGTGGTGGCGGGCACCTGTAGTCCCAGCTACTCGGGAGGTTGAGGCAGGAGAATGGTGTGAACCCGGGAGGCAGAGCTTGAAGTGAGCCGAGATCACTACAATTGGCATATGCTTTGATCTTTTATAAAAAGCAAGGTGCAATAAGATACAAAAGAAGAGGATGGAAGGTAAAGGGAGGGAGGGAGGGAGAGCTCTCACAGGCTCATAAGGGGAAATACGCAAATGCAGTGAGATGACATAGCGGCCTAAATCCTGGAGGAAGGTATTGAAAGGACTCCTGGAAATGGTATGCTGAGTAACATGACAATGTCTACTCCAGCTTCATCGCAGATAGAGGATTTTCCAAGGGATCTTTTCGTATGCCCGCCCACAATAAAAGCACAAATAATATTATTATATCATAGAAATATTATGATTTAATAGCATAATATTAAATCATAGCTATATTTAGAAGTGTAGAGAACTAATTTAATAAAAACAGAATCTAAGCCTGTTGTTGTCTAGTCATCTTAATTGTATGCATAAAAAAGTTAGAGGGTAACAGATTAACATGCTAACTTTTTATCTCTGAGGTAAGAGATTGGGGCCAATTTTTAATTTATTTTTAGTGTTTTCTACTTTGGCTTTCTTTTGCATGTTTGCTATAATGAACATAACTTTACGATCATGGAAAAAAAGATTTTTAAAAACAAATCCATTTCCTGAGCTCTGAGAGAGAAGGTACTGCGACACTCTTGCCGGAACAAACGCTAAAAATGCCGTACTAACTATAGAAAACGTTTCTAAATCAGCTGGTCAGCTGGTAAACACTCAACAAAATTAGGCACCCGAGGAGACAAGTAAGCAAAGCACTAAAGTAAGCTTCTGCCTAAAGGGCATTTGCCGAAATTAGAGAACTGAGCATCACAGACTCCTCCTGAGGACAAAACCCAGGCAGCCCAAGTTAGGGGGTCCCTTTTCCATACAATGCTGGGACCTCCCTGGGGTCGCCAGCTCAGTGAACTAAAAAATTGTAAATAACTCAGATTCTTTACAGGTGGCTCAAGCCTGTAATCCCAACACTTTGGGAAGCTGAGGCAGGCAGATCACTTGAGGCCAGGAGTTCGAGACCAATCTGGCCAACATAGTGAAACCCCGTCTCTTCCTAAAAATACAAGTATGAGCCAGGCGTGGTGCTGCATGCCTGTAATCCCAGCTACTCAGGAGGCTGAGGCAGGAAAATCGCTTAAACCCAGGAGGCGGGGGTTGCTGTGAGCCCAGATCACGCCACTGCACTCCAGCCTGGGCGACAGAGCAAGATTCCATCTCAAATTAATTAAAATAAAAGCTAGCACGAAAGACATGCAACTCTTCATTCACTTGAACATTTAGAAGCCACCATTATTATTGAAATTAGGGGCCAATGTTGCTCTACTTTCAACATTTTTGTGTCTTAAGGAATAGGGAGCCCTTGGGAGCGGGGAGAGACGGGAATGGCCAAGTCAGTGGAGCAGTCAGAAACCACACTTTTTTGTTTGTTTGTTTGTTTTGAGACAGAGTCTCGCTCTGTTGCCCGGGCTGGAGTGCAGTGGCCGGATCTCAGCTCACTGCAAGCTCCGCCTCCCAGGTTGACGCCATTCTCCTGCCTCAGCCTCCCTTGTAGCTGGGACTACAGGCGCCCGCCACCTCGCCCGGCTAGTTTTTTGTATTTTTTAGTAGAGACAGGGTTTCACCATGTTAGCCAGGATGGTCTCGATCTCCTGACCTCGTGATCCGCCCGTCTCAGCCTCCCAAAGTGCTGGGATTACAGGCTTGAGCCACTGCACCCGGCCAGAACCCACACATTTATACATTAAATCTGCTGCCTCATACGGGTGTAATTCTTGATGTCGCAAAACAATTACCATAGAAACATCAAAGATCAATGGTCACAGACCACCATACCATATAATGAAAAAACATGAAATGTCGTGAGAACCGCCAAAACGTGACACAGAGACACAAAGTGGGCACATGCTGTGGATAAACGGCGCTGACAGACTTGCTCAATGCAGGGTGGTCACAAACCCTCAATCTGTGAAAAAGATAGTCTCTACGGAGCACAGTAAAGTGAAGCACAAAACAACAACCATGTCTGTGTGCTGAAGGGCATACGAAACCAAACAATGTATTTTTACAGATTCAAATATGTGATACGACCATGACGAATAGGAAATGGTAAAATTCAGAGCAGTGGTGTTACCTTCGCTTAGTGGGGATCGCAAAGGTTCTTCTAAAACTTGGGTGAAAGATACAAAGATTTGTATTTTCATTCTTTAAAATTTACATATTTTAAATATTTTACACCTCTTGATATTTAATAAAAACTATTTTTAAAAAAGATTCAGGAACAATGGCTGGGCACAATGGATCACACCTATAATCGCAGCACTCTGGGAAGCTGAGGCAGAAGATCACTTGAGGCCAGGAGTTTGAAACCAGCCTGGACAACATAGCAAGACCCCATCTCTACAAAAATTTAAAAATGAGCCCACAGTTGTGGTACACACCTGTGGTCCCAGCTACATAGCAGGCTGAGGCAGGAGGATCACTTGAGTCCAGGAGTTCGAGACCAGCCTGGGTAACACAGTCAGACCCTGTTCTCTATAAAAATAAAAAATGAGAAACAGCCAGGCATGGTGACGCATGCCTGTAATCCCAGCTATTCAGGAGGCCAAGGCTG